GCTTTGCAATTCTACGTAATATTCTTCGGAATGGACCTTAACCATCTCTCTATATAATATACCTGATTGTCCTATACTCTATGGGGGAAAAATTCTAAAATAATCTATCCATACGTATAAGCAATAATATAATATCGATTTGTCTTATCCAAAAGAACACTTTAAATGGCAATTTTCAACAAAATATTATTATACTCTCGATGGTACCTAACTATTATGGAATCTATATCGAAAAATTCTCTTTTTCTATTCTCCGCAAATTTTTAAAAAAAAATTTTTATAACAATAAAGTTAAATATTATCGTGGACTTTTCTTCAAATCCGTAAAAATCAGTTTTTTTGAAAGAAAAATAGGTCCGTAAAGTCCGTAATTTGATTGAAAAAGGACGAAAAATCGTAAATTGTACAATATAATTTGGAGAATTTTAGAGAAATTAGAAATGATTGCAGAAATTCAAAATTGAATCAAAAGTAATAAAATTCTTCGCAGAAATTCAATTGAGGCTCAGGATCTTAAAAGGACACTTTCAGCATTGATTTTAAATAGTAAAAGTGCCCTTTTATGATCTGGAGCCTCAATTATGTTCAAAATTTTTTACAAATTCTCGTCAATATTTCAATTATATCTTTAGAAATAATAAAATTCTTCTCCAAAATTCCATTATTTTCAAAAATTTTATTTCAATTATTTAAACATTTTTTTGATAAAATTCTTTATAAGAATTCAATTTTAAGAAATATTCAATTATTCAATAAATTATTTTTTTGTATTTAAATAATTGTATTCTAGTAGAATTTTCTAATAAAAATTGATTTAAAAATGAATATCAGTTAAAGTTTTAAATTATGATTGAATATTATAAGCATTATAGAGTGAATTTTTAGAAATAATATTTGAAAAGGTTTCAAATTAAAATCTTTGAAAATCTGAATTTTTCATATTAAAACTAACAATTCTAAAGCAAACATTAAATTATTTTCATAAATAATAAAAATTTCACAGGAATTCAATTATTTACAAATTCTTTATAAATTTCATCGCAATAATTCAATTATTTTCATAAATAATAAAATTGTCTACAGGGATTCAATTATTTTCATAAATAATAAAATACTTTTAAGGAATTCAATTATTTTCTTAAATAATAAAACTCGTTGCAGAATTTCAATTATTTTTAATACAATTTTAAATCAAATTCCTCTTAAAAATTTTATTAAAATTCGTCAAAAGAATTCAATTATTTAACAATTTATTGATAACATTCTTTATGAGAATTCAATTTTAAGAAACATGCAATTATTCAATAAATTGTCTTTTTTGTATTTAAATAATTGAATTCTAGTAGAATTTTCTAATAAAAATTAATTTAAAAATGGATTTCAGTTAAAATTTTATATTATAATTGAATAATTAAATTTATATTATAATTGAATAATTGAATTTATATTATAATTGAATAATTGAATTTATATTATAATTGAATAATTGAATTTATATTATAATTGAATATTAAAAGCATTCGAGAGTGAATTTTTAGAAATAATTGAATTTTGAAAAGGTTTTAAATTAAAATCTTTGAAAATCTAAATTTTTCTAATTTTTAACTAACAATTCTGTAGAATGAATTTTTTTTAAAAAGTTTACTTGAATTTTTTTAAAATTATTTAGTTTTTTTTTCTAATATATATTTTTTTGAAGAATTTCTGAATAATTGAAACTTTGTAAAACTAAATTGTAAGCAAATTTTCAAAGATTATTAAAAATATTGGATATACAGAGGAATTTTAGTTAAAAACATTTTTAAAAAATTTAATTTTTGAGAAGTTACAAACTATTGAAAAAATTCAATTATTTTCAAGAGTATAATAAATCCTTTGCAGAAATTTAATTATATTCAAAAATAATAAAATTCTTCTTAGGGATTCAATTATTTTCACAAATAATAAAACTAATCGCAGAATTTCAATTATTTTGATTAATTTTGAATATAATTTTAATCACATTTCTCAAAAAATGTAATTTTTCTTAAAAAGTTCATTAAAATTCGTCCAAAAAATTTAATTATTTAAAATTTTGTTGATAAAATTCTTTATAAGAATTGAATTTTAAGAAACATTCAATTATTCAATAAATTATTTATTTTTGTATTTAAATAATTAAATTCACGTAGAATTTTCTAATAAAAATTGAAATAAAAATGAATTTCAGTTAAAATTTTATATAATAATTGAATATTAAAGGCAATATAGCGTGAATTTTTAGAAATAATTGAATTTTGAGATTAATTTTTTTGAAAAATTTTAATTGAATTTTTGTATATCATTTGAAGTTTTTATTTTCTGATATATTCATTTAATTGAAGAATTTACGAATAAGTGAAATTTCGTAAAATTGAATATTGTAAACAAGTGGACTTGAAAATTGTCAAAGGACTTTTTTGAAAATTATTAAAAATAATCGATAAAAATTCTTGAAAATAATAATTGAATTAATAATGATTTTATCACTTGGTCGTCTTTAATTATTATAAAACATGAAGAAATCGATCACTCAGAGTTGAAGACTCGGAGTTATCGATATCTTCATGTTTTAAAGTTATGAAAAAATTTAATTTATAATTTTCAGTAAAATGTTCTCTTATTTGACTCGGACTGATTCTATTTTTGTTAGTAATTGGTCCGTAATTTTTCATTTTTTGGACCGTAAAGTCTATATTTTTAAATACTTTCACCCAAAAAACGATATACATGAAGAATTAAAAAAAAAAGTTAAATATTATCCTTATATAAAAATAAAGAAGCGGATGAAAAAAGTAATTGTAAAATACTCTAAATCTCTAAAATTAACCTTTCGCATCAAAATTGCATCATTTCCTTTGTGAAAATTAGTGAATTAATTAACTCATTTTCAAGTTAAGAATTTAATGAATGCTTCCCGGTATTTCTATTCTAATTGTGATAAAATTTTCAGTTAATTCTCAATTTTCCTTTACCAAACGCTATTTGTCATTATCATATAGAAAATAGAAAAAGGTGACACGTGCACAAAAAAAATCGAGACAATTAGTTTCTGCAAAATTTTTCCTTACAAAAATTCCATCAGTTTTTCATGATTTCCCAGCAGTACAATATTTTCATCATGCATAGCATAAAAAAAGCCAATAGAAAACCGATGAAAAGAAAAATTGTAAAATGACTATTCGATTAAATAAAAAACCAAAATCGATGGAAAAAATTTATAGCAAGAAAAAAAAATTATCCGAATAATGAATTACTTGACTATTATCAAATCAATATTTACTTCTAACAAATAATTGTTATTTTAATTTTTCATATTAATTTTTTTAATCTTCTTAATTTTTTAATTTAAAAAATTTTTTTTAACAAAAACATTATTTACTCGAAAATATCAAGTTAATGAAATTATGGACAATTTAATTAATTTTTTGTATAACAAATAAATTTTCACTGAATAAATAAATATTTGTTTGTAACGAATAAATTTTAATTTACAACAAAGAAAAATCTTTTTACCTTACATAAAAGCAATGAGTCAATAAAAATAGATAATTTGATCATTTTTTTTGGTACGAATAAATTTTTATCTACAATAAAAAAGTTTTTATTGACTCAAATAAAAATGAAGCAATAAAAATTGACAATTCAATCATTTTTTTGTTACAAATAAATATTTATTTGTAGCAAATAAATTTTAATTTACAGTATAAAAAAAATCGTTATTGATTCAAATAAATATAGTTAATTTAATGATTTTTGTTTCAAGTGAATTTTTATTCAACTCTCTAAACTACTTAAACTACTACTACTAAAACACTAAACTTAACTATAAAAAAAATTTTTTTTGTTAAAATAAATATTTATTTGTAGCAATCAAATTTTAATTTACATTAAAAAATTTTTTATTGAATCAAAAAAATGGGTAATTTAATGATTTTTGTTGGAAATAAATATTTATTTGCAGCAAATAAATTTTAATTTACATTAAAAATTTTTTTATTGACTCAAATAAAAAATAGGTAATTTAATGATTTTTGTTAAAAAAATTTTTATTGAACTCTCCAAATTTGAATTAGTAAAAATAATTACTTATTTGAATTAGTGACTGAATTTTTGCTTTTAAATTAGTAAATTTTACTAATAAATTAGTAGAAATTACTATCTATTAGTACTTTTTATTAATTTGAAAGCCAAAAATTAGTCACTTAATCAAATTAAAAAACATTTTTAGGTACTAATTAAAATTTAGAGAGAATAAATATTTATTTGTTACGAATAAAATTTAATTTACAAAAATAATTATTATCGACTAAAATAAAAATATACTTGACTCTGGAGCCTACTAAATTATTTATTTGTTTTAGATAAAAGTTTTATTCGTCACAAACAAACTAAACACTAAAACAAAATTTTTTTTAAAATAAATATTTATTTGCAGCAAATAAATTTTAATTTGTAAAAAAAATGTTATTGACTCAAATAAAATTAGGTAATTTAATAATTTTTGCTACAAATTTTATAAAACTCTAAATTTTAATTTGTTAAAATATTTATTAATTTGAATTAGTGACACTGACTTTTTGCTTTTTAATTAGTAATTTTACTAATAAATTAGTCAAATTTGCTAATTAAATAGCAAAAATTAAGTCACTAATTCAAATTAAAAAACATTTTTACTAATTCTTTAGAGAGAGTAAATATTTATGTGTAACGAATAGAATTTAATTTACAAAAATAATTATTAGCGACTCATCTAAAAATATACTTGACACAGAATTTACTAAATTATTTATTTTAAATAAAAATTCTATTCGTTATAGTCGAACCAAAAGAAATTTATCTGAACTATATAAAATTTTTTTCTGAAAGAAATAAATAATTTAGTAAACTCTGATATTTTTTTCTGGATGGAATAATAAAACATTTCTAAATATCTTTTGTCGATTTGAATGAGCCTAATTGCAATTTCCGTTTTCCAAAAGATGGGTTACGTGAATGTAGTGATTCCACCCGATATAATGGACGATCGTTCATCGGATGGTATGGTAGCACGGGAAGGTGGAAATATCAGACTGAAATGCGTAGCAACAGGTACACCTGAACCCACAGTCACTTGGAAACGAGAAGATGGTCGTTCTATATCGATTCGTGAAAATGGATCAAAAAAGGGTAAGTTCCATTACTTTTCACGATCTAATAAAATACTTTCTCTGTGTATGAGGAAGAGCAATACAGCCTAATAACAATCAATTTTTCAGTCTTTAAACAAAATAAATGACTGAACATTCAGCAACAGTAGTAAAACTTTAATCGACTGCGCCCAGAAAAAAAGAACCTACTAAATTATTAATTTGTTTCTTGTCCCAAATAAATTACTTTTGGCTCAAATAACTTTTAATTGGTTCAAATAGGCGTTGATCTGAATTTGAAAATGAAAAATAGTATCAAAATTGTCATAAAATTTTTGTAATAGTTGCAAATAGCAGATTTCGTACTCGGTAATTAATTTTTAAAAAGTAGCAAAAATTAACTTTAAGATTGAAAAATGTAGTAAAAAAAAGAAGCTATCGAAAAATTATTAGATGACTCAATTTTTTTCATAACTTTCCAAATTAAATTGCGTTTAAAAATAGCTATCGAAAAATTATTAGTTGACTCAATTTTTTTCATAACTTTCCAAATTAAATTGAGTTCAAAAATAGAATAATTTTTTAAAAATAAATATTTAAATACCTATTCATTTTTTTCCAGGAATTAAAATATTTTAAATGATTTCAACGCAAAGCCTTTTTGAACTTTAATTATTTCTACAAAATTACAACTGTAATTCTTCCAAAACTTAACCATTTTTTTGTTGTTGAAATTTTCAAATAAATCTATACAAAACTTTAATCATTTATTACTTCAAAATGAAACATTGAATTTTACAACAATTAAAATTTTCAAAGATTTAAATTAAACGAATCTTTTGAAATTTAATTATTTCTAAAAATCCACGCTTCTAATATTCAATTCATTAAAATTTTAATTAAAATCCAATTTTAAATCAATTCTTCTCGGAAAAGTTTACGAAAATTCAATTATTTAAATAATTTAATTTATTTATATAATAAATAATGTACATAATTGAATAATTAAATATTTTTTAAAATTGAATTCTTACAAAGAGCTTTATCAAAGTTTTTGAAAATAACTGAATTGTTCCAAAAAAGTTCATTAAAATTTTTTGTAAATAATTAAATTCTTTCAAGAATAAAAAATGTATTAAGAACAATTATTAAATTCTAACAAACAAATTACATCAATTTTTTTTTAAATAATTGAATTCTTAAAAAAAAATTTTAATAACATTTTTAAAAATAATTGCACTTAAAAATGTACAGTATTAAAAATAATTGAAATCTTGCGATAAATTTTTTTTAATGAATGAATTTTTAAAAATAATTGCATTTTTAGAGGAATTAACTTAAAATTGTATTAAAAATAATTGAAATATTGCGATGAGTTTTTTTTAATGAATGAATTTTTAAGAATAATTATGCATTTTTAGAGAAATTCACTTAAAATTGTATTGAAAATAATTGAAATCTTGCATTGAGTTTTATTATTAATGAAAATAATTGAATTTTTGAGAATAATTTTATTATTTACAAAAATAATTGAATTCTTGAGAAAAATTTTATTATTAACAAAAAAATTGAATTCTTGAGAAGAATTTTATAAAAATCTTTTTCATTGATTTTTGTAGAAAAATTTTTATGAAAATTCTGTTTTAAATAATTGAGTTCCTATAAAAATATTATTATTTATGAAAATAATAGAATGTCTGCAAAAGAATTTTATAAAAAAATCTTTTTTAATTGATTTTTTTCGAATAATTTTATGAAAATAGTGTTTTAAATAACTGAATTTATTCTTGCAAAACTTTTATTATTTATGAAAATAATTTAATGTTTGCAAAAAATTTTTATAAAACTCTTTTTAAATAATTTAAATTCTTTTGTGAAATTTTGTATTAAAATAACGTAGAATATTGAAAATAATTGAAATTGAAATTAAATCGAAAACTTTTGAAAATAATTAAATCGTTTGAAATGATTTTATTCAAAATTTTTATTTCAACTATTAACGAATTTAAAGTAGTGCAAATTCTCAAAAAAAATTAAATTATTCTCACACTAACATTTTTTTAACTGTAAAAAAGTTTTTAAGGGATAAAATTGTGGTTTAATTTCTCCACTTGAGAACACTAAGATTATCACTAGGTGGCTTTGAATCTGGTTTCGTCAACTGAACTGATATCTAGCGGAGACCTTGGCGTTCGCAGGTGGAGAATACTGATCTCCATATTGAATCTCAAGATATTCTTTAATTCTATAATTATTTATAATCAGACATTGAATCTAGAGAATTTAAAAAATTTTAAATTATAAATTTATTTTAATTTGCTACAAAACTTGTTTTAATCCAAATATATAAGTAAACAACCAAAAACATATATTAGAATTATACCTAAATATTTTAGGTACAATTGAATTAAACGTGATTTTTATTGAATCTATTGAATAAAAATTCTATTGTTGCATCTAAATCAAAACCAAATAAAATAATACCCCACAATTTTCTGCTTCTGTTTGAACCAAATAAAAATTCGACGCAAATAAAAGTTTTCTTTGAACCAAATAAAATTTATTTGAAACAAAATGTTATACGTAATCTCTAAGTCAAATACATCTATCTCTCTTCTGTATGTATAGAAACAAAAGAATATTTTGCAAACTTGAGCGCAATGTAATGAAATTTTTAAGAAATTGCACAAAGTCCCTTAAAATATATATGTATATATACTAAAATACGACAACGCCTAACAGAAATAAATTACTTACATTCTCATTACTTACTCGTCTATTTAATAGCTCCAAGTAATGAAGTAGTAAATTTACCAACTACTTACAAAGTTCTATATTTCTAAATTATAGAGAGTTCTGAAAGCATTCTCAGATCAAAGTTTCAAAAGTTAACAGTTATAACCATTTAAAATACGCACAATAGATGCCATAAAAAATGCACTCTAATATCATAAAACTCAAATATTACGATATTAAAAAAAACAGTACAACAATCCCTCAGGGATATTATATAGAGGAGACCATTAAAAAACTATACATCTAAATTAATATAAATACTCCCATAAGAGGTACCTAATCTACTCGAATAGAAATCCATAAATATAAAATTAATTCCAAAATGAAGAAAACTAATCTTCTTAATTTCCCCCTCTAGGAATTAATTTTAAAGTGTTATGTGAAAACTGTCGAGGGACACATGCATGTAATGCATTCTAAATCTCACTATAACAATCTGGCAGACGCACGGAAGTTGCTACACACATACATATATATATAGGTTGGTACAGCACAGCAGTTCCTTGAAATTACCTACGATTCGACTTCCGGTCCCGGATGCTTCCATATCGCGCTTTTGCCGGACATCTCGAATTTACAATCGGTTTCATCCAATCCACACACGTGTTACACATACAACGCTAAAATTCCCTCTCTTTACTCTCTCTTTGCTGAATTTCAATGAATTTATGCGACTTTTCATCGAATTCGATGACACTTTATAATTATATATGACAAACGTACTTTCTCTCTATATCAGAAAATTAGATTTGGTAAATTTCTTGTTACAAAATACGAAATCACAAAAGAGCCCATTTTTCACAGGGGAAGAATAAATCAACTATTTGTGAAAAGTTAGTCTTATAGGTGTAAATTTTGATTCTATGGAAGAGTGAGAACAAAACTGTTTTGTTTTCTCCTAAAAGTATTTTTGATCCTTCCCACGTCGAAAAATTCCATGGAAAAGTCCCCCTGGAAATTCCAAGAAATTCCCTTAAAGATTCCATGGAAATTCTGCAATTCTTTTATTTTAATATTATTTTAACATTTCTATTATGATTAGAGTTTAATAATAAGTTTTTTTGCAATTTATTTGCAAAACTTGATTGAAATAGGTATTTTGCAAAAAAAATTGCAACAAAGCTTATTATTAGACTCTAATTATAATGGAAATGTTAAAATATTATTAAAATAATAAAATAAAAAACTTGCAGAATTTTCATGGAATCTTCACGGAAATTCCATGGATAACTTCCATGGAATTTTTCGACGTGGGGTCGACCAACGCCGTTTTTCAAGATACACATTTTTTCTGAATCGGAAATAAATTCTAAAAAAGTTATGAGTACCTCTATGTTTCGATAAAAGATCTTATTTTTTAAAAAAAAAAGCTCCAAATTGGTGAAAAAAACCCAAATTTGATAATCGACTCCAAAAATTGTAAAAATAAATTTCACAAGACCAGGACCAGCGTCGTTTTTCAAGATACAATTTTTTTCTGAATCTGAAATAAATTCTAAAAAAGTTCTGAGTACCTCTGTGCTTCGGAAAAAGCTCTTCTTTAATAAAAAAAAAAGCTCCAATTTGATAAAGTAAAGCCCACACTCACAGAAATGATCTATTAAACATAAAACTAATTTCCTTTTAAATCACGTCCTTTAATCGTTAGCAGAAATAGTTTTATTGTAAAAGGAATCTTTTAAATATAAAAAGGATAGAAGTTTAATGGAAAAAAGAAAAACGTTTGAATATAAACTGATTTCTTTTGATTTTTCAATGAAATCTTTTTATGTCAAAAGGATAATTTCACGTGGTTTAACGTTTGTAAACATATCAGAATAATAAAATAAAAAATTTTAATTACTCTTTATGTAATGCAAAGGTAATCTGCACAATTTTTACAATAATTATAAAATATTTCTTTTTAATAGTAAACAAGATAGAATCATTTAATAAATTAAAGGATATAATTTAAAGGAATCTCCTTTTAATAGAAAACTAATTCCTCTTAGACAAATATTAAAGGGAAAATCGGCTTATAGTAAAAGGATTCCTTTTTACTTATATAAATAGACTGTTTTGTGAGTGCAAATTTGATATTCGACTACAAAAATTGTGAAAACAAATTTACAAGACCAGCGTCGCTTTTCAAGATACAATTTTTTTCTGAATCTGAAATAAATTCAAAAAAAAGTTTTGAGTTCCTTTGTGTTTCGGAAAAAGTTCTTCTATAATAAAAAAGCTCCAAATTGATGAAAAAATGCCTAAATATGGCTCGAAAATTAAGAAAAAAAATTGTCAAAATCAGCTTTGATTTTAAGACACAATTTTTTTTTAATAGGAAATAAATCCGAAAAAAGTTCTGAGTACCTCCGTGTTTCGAAAAAGCTCTTCTTTAATAAAAAAAAACTTCTAATTTGATGAAAAAGCCTTAATTTGATAATCACCTCCAAAAATTGTTAAAAAAAAATTGTCAAGACCAGCGTCGCTTTTCAAGACACCATTTTTTTTTTAATCTGAAATAAATTCTAAAAAAGTTCTGAGTACCTCTGTTTCGAAAAAAGATCTTCTTTAATAAAAAAAAAACCTCTAAATTGATGAAAAAAGCCTTAATTTGATATTCGACTACGAAAATTGTGGAAATAAATTTACAAGACCAGCGTCGTTTTTCAAGATACAAATTTTTTTCTGAATCTGAAATAAACTGTAAAAAAGTCCTGAGAATTTCCATGTTTCGGAAAAAGCTCTTCTTTAATAAAAAAGCTTCAAATTGATTTAAAAAGCTCAAATTTGATAATCGCCTCCAAAAATTGTGTTAAAAAAAATTTCCATTATGATTAGAGTCTAATAGAAATGTTAAAATAGTATTAAAAAAATTATTAAATAAAAAAATGCAGAATTTCCATGGAGAAGTTCCATGGAATTTCCAGGGGGTCCTTTCATGGAATTTTTCGACCTGGGTAGTCACACTGGAAAAAAAATTTATTTGATTCAAATAACCGATTACTTGACTATTATCAATTAAGTGTTTACTTGAATCAAATGATTTTCCATTGTGTCAATTAAATGGTATTTGCTTCAAATACTGAAATTATTGGTTCAAATACCATTTAATTGATTTAAATAAAAATTATTTGATTCAAGTAAATATTTATTTGACAATAGACAAGTAATTGGTTATTTGAATCAACACTGAGAAAACAATTTATTTGATCCAAACATATTTTGTTTAAATCAAACTTAAAATATCTTTGTTATACAGTTAAACACATTTAAGTTTAATTCAAACCTATTTTTTGGTTCATTTAAAGAAATAATTATTTTATTCAAACATAAGTTATGGTTGATTTTAAATTTAAAATCTTATTTATATATTTAAATACAAAATATATATATTTAAAATCAACTTTTAAGTTTGACTCAAACATAAAATTTTTGAACATAATTTTTGTTGAAATCAAAACAGAAAATATGTTTCAATTAAACATAATTATTCAAAAATATTATTTGTTTGAATAATTATGTTTAATTCAAACATATTTTCTGTTTTGATTTAAATAAAAATTATGTTTAAAAATTATATGTTTAATTCAAACTTTAAAGTTGATTATAAATAATTTAAAATCAACCATAACTTATGTTTGAATTAAATATATTATCTCTTTAAATGAACCAAAAAATATGTTTCAATTAAACTTAAATATGTTTGACTGTATAGCAAAGATATTTTAAGTATGATTTAAACAAAATATATTTGATTTAAATAAATCGTTTTCTCAGTGTAAGATCACTCAATCTTAAACCTTTAGTTATGAACTTTCACTTCACAAATTGTTTGGAAATCTACCAAAATTTTTACTTGACGGAACTTTTAGCATCGAAGATATTTTCGTTGAGATTAATTACATTCCTTTGAAATACCCATAGAAATAAAATCTGATTTCATCTCAGAATTTATATCCACGAAATCAGTATTACATATAAAGACAGTATAATCAATTCTATGATTGAGAATCAAATTGACATTTTCATAGGGAACAAAAAAAAAGGGACGCTCTCACATCAACTTCAAAATCGAACCCCTTGCGCATCAATTTATCAAGCGTCTCAAGAAATCAAACAGAATCTACATCCCTATAATCCATAATTTGTCATTTTATTTATGACAGCTCCTATATCCAAACATAATCTTTAAGAAATCAAGAATCCAGAGACTTGTTCCAACAATTGAATATATCTGAATCTCGATAATAGTAAAAAAAAAATCGTCGAAAAAAGAAACGACATATCCACCTTTATCATTCAAAAAGTTAAAAGTTTCAATTTCCATCATCATAGAAATCCCCTAGTATCTAGTTTTAGCGTGTTTTGCGCTTTTCTTCTCGATTGAGTCCAACAGGATTTCCTCGGTCGTAAAAAAGATTGGTATCCCTCCTTTGACAAGGGGACTCGTTAATGCAATTCCAAGGCAGCCAATCCGGCACGGCGAGTCGTCGACGCCTCGGGAAAATTTCAAGTCGATTCGTACCTAACTGCAAAAGGATAACGAAGAGGAAGCAAAAAAAGAGAGAAAAGAAAAAAGGAGGGAAGAAAGAGAGCGAAAGATTTCCGTCATTGGGAAAGCGAGTAGAGGATCATAAAGCTTCGAAGAGCCCTTCATGCGTCTCTTCAAGTGCATGCCATGAAAAAAAAAATAGACGATAAAGAAGAAAAGATTACAAAAATCGATTATTAAAGATGCTAACTGTTCGAAAATAAGTCCGATTCTAAAATTCCCCTTCTTTTAATAATTACTTTTACTTACTAATTACTTTTTTCCCCCTTCTTTTTCAGTCATTGGCTTCACAAAATACGAAGGAGAAATTCTCGAATTATCAGGAGTTACTAGACAAGAAATGGGAAACTATCTCTGCATAGCTAGCAATGGCGTACCACCTTCGGTCAGCAAACGTTATTCAGTTCAGGTTCAATGTACGTATACCTTGTTTCAACTGAAACTAGTCCCGAGAAAGTTATGCCTGTTAAATCTAATCTGTAACTACTCAAGGATAATCTCATTGTTTGATTCCAACGAGTCTTTCACAAAATTTTCCTTTCATCTTTTACAAAATTTTTCACTTCAAAAGAGAAGAAAAAAACCTATCTACTATTATTTAAATTGCTTTTTTATTTTATTTATCAACATTCAGGGAGGTCACAAAAATTCTTTTCTTTTTCCCTGACTTTTCTTTGATTTTCGCAAACATAATTTTACCTTATAAAAACAATTCAACAATTTAATGGGAGGGTACAGCGGTATTTTTAACTACATTAAGAAAATAATTTAAATATTCCATAAAATTATTTTTAATAAAACAAGGTTAATATAACGAAAACATTCGGGCAATGATTAAAATATATTTTACTCAAACCTTTCGAAATATAAATAATTTCCACTTCAGGGAGACTATCAAAAAATATACAAGGTTAAAATAATTACAATGAATAATTTAACAAAAAAATGAAATATAATTATCTTCTTAGAAATTAATCAGTCAAATAAACGAAAACATAAAAAAGACTTTCTTTATTCTTTTGACACCCTAACACTGAAAATAGAGAATGAAGTCAAAAAAACTATATTATAAAACATGACGAAATCGACCACTCCGTGTCATCGACTCGGAGTGATCGATTTCCTCATGTTTTATAATAAACTTAATATGACAACGTGATATATTCATTATTTTATAATTTTATATCATAAGAATATTGTAACTATAAATTTTAAATATTCAAAGATTTTAATTTAAACCCTTTTCAAAATTCAATTATTTCTAAAAATTCACGCTATAATGCTTTTAATATTCAATTATAATTTATTACTAAAACTAATTTTTAAAATAATTTTTATTATAAAGAATTCATAATAATTGAATTCTTTCGGCAAATTTAAAAAAAATTGTAAAAATAAATTTATTTTTACAATTTTTAATTTTATTTTTTAATTTATTTTAATTTATTTTTTAATTTTATGCAATTTTCTATCATGTTATTTAAAATTGTATAAAAAATAATTTAAATTCTGCGTTAAGTTTTGTTATTTTTATGAAAATAATTGAATTCTTTCAATGAATTTTAATGAAATTTTTTTTAAAGAATTGAATTCCTGTGAAGAATTTTATTTGCTAAAATAATTGAATTCCGGAGAAAAATATTACGTATTATTTATGAAAATAATTAATTTCTTATGAAGAATTTTATTCAAATTTTTTTTAAATAATTGAAGTTTTCAGAATTTTTTAAAACTTTTAAAAATAATTAAATTACATCTAGAAATTTCATTAAAAAATTGAAAATAATTGAAATCTGATAAAGTATTTTAAAAAAAAATTTTTTTTTAATGGTTGAATTCCTGTGAAAATGTTTATATTTGAAAAGAATTGAATTCTTGGAAAGAATTTTATTAAAATTTCTTAAATAATTGAATTGCTTCAAAGAATTTTTATTTTTTACGAAAATAATTGAATTTATTCGAAAATTTTTACAAACATTTTAGCCAATAATTGTTTTCCTAGGAAGAATGTTGTATTTTACAAAAATAATTGTATTCTAAGAAGAAATTTTATTAAAATTTTTCAAATTTATAAATCATTTTATCAAAATTTTTTTAAATAATTGAATTTTCAAGAAAAATTTTATTATTTATGAAAATAATTTATTTCTAGCGAGGAATTTTATTCAAATTTTTTTAAATAATTTAATTCCCTTAAAAAATGTATTATCTGTGAAAATAATTAAATTCTTAAGAAGAATTGTATTAAAAATTATTGAATTGTATAGGAAAATTTTATTAACTAAATCTTATAAAGAATTTTGTCAAAATTTTTTAATATAATAGAACTTTTAAAATAATTTTATTTAAAATTTTCGAAATAATTGAATTGCTTAGAACTATTTTTTTTTCAATTCTCTGAATATATTTGAATTCTATGGAGAAACTCTATTAAAAAATTAAAAATAATTGAACTGGTGTGAAGAAAAGTATAAAAAATTGGTAAGTAATTGAATTCCTGTTAAATTTTTATTAACATTTTTTTTTGAAAATAATTGTAATTTTGACAAGAATTTTATTAAAATTTTTGAAAATAATTGAATTTCGGAGATGATTTTTATATTATTTATAAAGGTAATTGAAATTTTGACGAGGATTTAAAAATATTTTAGAACATAATTGAAATTATGCGAAGAAGTTCAACACTTTTGAAAATAATTGAATTTCTGTAATCAGTTGTTCTTAAAATTTCTATTTAAATTCATTAAAAATTGATATTTTCTAAACTTTCAAAGTGAAACCTTTGAAGTTCATCTATTTATAAAGATTGTAAATGCAACTCTTTTGAAATCTAATGAATTTTGAAATTTTTAAGTAAAATTATTAATTAAATAATTTATAAGTAATAATTTTGTGATAGTTCTTCAAGAATTAAGTTATTTAAAAAGAAATTATTGTCAGAAATAGAAAAAATTTAAGGGTTTGTATTACAATTCTTGTCAATTTTATAGTTTATAAGGTAAACAAAAAAGACACCAAAATTCAGAATTTTCTTATAAATTATAAAAATTTAATTTTTTCCAGTACTTTTAATAAAAATCCCTGACTTCCCTGACTTGTGGCAACCCTGTAGAAAGTTATTATAGAATGAATAATGAAAATTAAAAAATAATAAAATAAGATAAAAGGAAAAAATCATAAAAAATAATAATTAATAAAAATTTATTTTTTTTTAAAGTAATTTCTTCTGACAAATTCAATGTTCATAAAATACAATCATAAAATACAATCGATACAAAATTATTTTGATTTTTTCAATAAATTTTTATTTTTCTTAAAAATTGATAGCTTTTGAAATCCATGCGTAATTTTGTAGAAAATATGATATGCTTTTGAAGCTATAAAAAAATTACCAAATGAAAAAAATTATTTTTTCTAATTTTTGAAGCATTTTTTTGAAAAAAATTTTTTTTGACCTAGAAATGCTAAAAAATAAAATAATTATTTAATTTTTTTAATTTGAAAATTCATTTGATTATTTTTCTATAACTAAATTCAGATCATAATTATATCATAATGTTTTTGTATTTTTTATTTTTTATACTTAAAAATTACAATCTGAAATTAGATAGAAAAATAAACAAATAAATTTTCAATTAAAAAAATTGAATAATAACGGTACTTTTTAGCATTTTTAGTTTAAAAACAAACTTTTTTCAAAAAAATGCTTCAAAAGTTATAAAAATCAATTTTTCATTCGGCAATTGTTTTGTAGATTCAAACATATTTTCTAGAAAATTACGCAAGGCTTTCAAAGTTTACCAATTTTTAAGAAAAATAAAAATTTAAAGAGGGTCAAAATATTTTCTGACCGATTTTATTTTATTGGATTCCTCTTAAAAAATTACCTTAAAAATAATATAATGGAAAATTTCAATTATTTTCTTGTTTTAATTGAAAATATCGGTGTCCCCTCCCATTAAAAAATTTAAGTTCAATTATAAAAAAAAGTTAATGTTTAGAATTCTGAAAAAATAGTTTTTAAAAATATTTCATATTTTATGTTATAATAAACATAATATTTACAATTTTTTAAAACTTTAATTTAAAATCTTTTTATAATCAACTGATTAATAATTCCCTTGATTATTATCAAAAATTTCAATAAAATTTTTACAAAGTTTAATTATTTTCGATTATTTTTAATAAAATTTCGGAAAATTTGACTTTTTCTTAAAATTTTTAATTATTTTTCAATTAACTCTAGAAAAAAAATGAAAATAATTTGAAAAGCAAATTTTTCAAAAATTTGGATACTTTTCCCAACTTTAATTTTTTAAGGAAATTTTAAATTTAGATTTTTTAAAAATTATAAAATGATTGAAAATTATTCTATATAACTCTCAACATTTAATTATTTTAAATGCAATTTGAATGCATAGATTTAAAGATGTCTTTCCTATTTTATTTTAAAAATAAAATTAATTACTGTAGTCAATTTCCCTCGATTATTTTCAAAAATTTTAATAAAACTCTTAGAAAATTCAATTATTGTTCAAAAAATGTTAGAAAATTGTATTTTTAATATAATTAAAAAAAATTTTATTACTTCAAAAATTATTTAATTACTTGCTTAAACATTCAATTATTTTTAAAAAAACAAAATTTGAAATACTGCAATAAAGTAAAAAACTAATTTTTCAAAATTTTAATTATAACTTTTTGCAACTTTCGCATTTAAAAAAAATTAAATTATTTATCATTTAATAAATTAAAATTCCTCGAAAATTCAATTTTTTAAAAATCTGTAATAGAATTCTAACAAATTAAATTATTTTCCATTCAATTTCACAAAAATCCCATTAATTTGATTAATTAATTCATTCATTATTCATGAAGAATGAAAAGTTTTAAGATGAAAACAAAATTCAAGATGGTTTCAAAGGTTTTTAAATTTTTTCGAAAATATTTTTAAACACTAAAAATCAGAATTTTTGCAGTAATTTTTTTTTAATGTACTTTTGATAAAATTTCTTTGCCATTTTTCTGATTTTGCCGACTAATTTTATTTGCCCTGATTTTACCCTGATTTTCCTGACCTGTGCAACCCTGAAGTTACAGAGAAAAAAAAACTAAATTGAAAATTTAAAATTTTTTAGTTCAACCAGTTATCAAAGTTACAAATCAACTTGTCGCAGCTCCTATAAATAGTGACGTAGTAGTTCAATGTCACGTGGAAGCTTTTCCACAAACTATGAACACATGGTACAGAAACATGAGTAAGTATAATTTATTTTTCAATTCCAATATAAGAATTTTATTTATTTACAATCAAAAATTAAGCTAATCTAATAAAATTTGTTTACCGAGAAAATTATTTAGCCGAATTTTTACACTAGAAAATACAGAAAATAAAATATTGAATTAGATCTCAATAAATAAATAGAGAAATAAAAGACTTAACAGAATAAAAATAATTTGGGTGGAGAATAAAAATTAACTTTGATTTCAAAAGAAGAGGATTTCGCTTAAGAACAAGTGGATTTTTCAAATTAAGAGAAAAAATGTTTTATTAAAGTAATTAAATGGAATTTATTTTAATATATGAACTTTTACTTATTCACCTGCAACTGCGTCAATAATTGCAGAATTAATTAAATATGAATTTTTTGTTGAATTTTTTACAGATAGTTTTTTAAACTTTTTTCTGCAGTCTGCAGTTTTTTTTCTAAAGCTATAGTATTAAAAATGTATATAACTATACACTGCTTTTATTTTAATATCCAATAAATTTTCTCTAACCAAGTGAATTCACTTTCTAATTTTATTTTTTAATTAATATTTTTTTAAAAAGAAATTAATATAATCAGTTAAAATTCAACGAATTTTTCTAAACCAGAAGAATTCTTTTTCTAATTTATATTAAAATTGTTATTTTCATTATTAAATTATTGTTATTATTTGTTCCAAAAAATGTATGACTTTTTAAAAAATTCAATTATTATTTCCTCTTTAACTATTGCATTGCAAAAATATACTTCATGTAAAATAATTCTAAATGAAAAAGCAGAAATATTTTTCAATTTTTGAAAAGGAAAAATTTTTGTAGTTCTTTTTTTTAAAAAAAAGTTAAAATGGAAGAAAATGCAAAATTTTATGACTTTTGAGGAAAATTAGATTACATTAATTCTATTCTCTGCCTATTTTTATTTTCTAATTTAATTTTATTATCTTTATATGAAATGATAAATACTCAAAATTTCAATCACAGGGAATTTGAAATATTTCGAAATAGTTAAATAATACATATATAATATTTCGCATATTATGAAAACTGAATATTGTTTGCATCGTGATTTAGTCGCGCACCGATACAAATTACGCTCAATGGAGACTAAATAATGCGGCACTAATAAACTAAACTATAATTTCAATAAATGTTTCATCTCATATTCCAAAATTGTTGAAATACATAACATTGTTTGGATATATACACTCAAAACCATTAAATAAATCACTTGATTAATTAATAAAAAGAACAAATGATATTTTCTCTATTTATGATGGTTTTCTAAAAAAATATTTCTCTATAAAAATTTCTCCGTAAAAAAATTGTCCTTTTTAATAAATTTAGATTATTTTTTTCTTTTTAATCGACTTAATTTATTCGAGTAACATTTTATTACTCTTAAAAGCTGCGAAAAATTAACTACCGAGAGAGAAAATGAAAGAGAGAGGAGAGGAAGTCATTTTTAAATTTGTTACTGTACTGAGAAAAGAATTCTCTGCTCTTTTGTAGCAGGTGAAAAATTACTTCCGAGCGATAAGTACACGATGACGGAGCACGCTCTGACCGACTATTCTTGGCAAATGAACCTGACAGTTCACAACTTAGAGAAAAAAGACTTTGGAGGGTACATCTGTTCTTCTGTCAACGCTCTTGGTACCGCTGAAGGCATTGTTCGACTTCAAGGTATATTATTTGACTTTTTATTTTCTCCCTCAACATTCGTCTCCTTTTCAAATCAACCGCAACCTCTTTAAATTGCAAAAAATGAAATTTAAAAAATACCCACAATTTTTTTTTTTGTTTCTATTCAAAACCATTTTATTCGAGAACAACTTTTAATCAAGACAAAATGAAATAAATCAAGACAAAATTTAAATAAAATAAGAATGTAGAAAAAAATTTTAAATAAAAAACAATTCTCTTATAATATAGAAGAATTTTTTTAAATTTCTTTTCAATAAAAAATACAATTATTTCAAATAAAAGAAGAATGTAAAAAAACTTTTTTTTAAGAAATTAATAAATAAAAGAAAAGGGTTTTCATTAATAAAAAAGAATTTAAATTTCTTTCCAATAAAAAAATAATTTTTTTCAAAAAAAGAAAATTCTTTTTTTTAATAAAGAATAATGGATTTCTTTTAAACAAAAGCAGGCCTCGGATCATGTTTAACGCACAATAAGTCGTTTTAGTCAATTCTAAGTACAAAAAGGGTTGAAAAAGTCGAATTTTTTCGAAATGTCATTCAGAGTTTTCAAAAAATTTTATTTTCCATTCACTCATGACTTTTTGTTGATTTTCAGAAATTTCTTAATTATTTTTCTTACACCGATAAGTTTAAATCATCTAAATTTTTGTAAAATTCAATTCTTTTCAAATAATTTTTTGATATAGCTTTTCATATTTTTCTTCAAAAATACGATTTTGAAAATTTTTATTAAAACTGTTTAAAACATAATGTTTATTTAAATTTAGAATTGTTAGAAAAATTTTCAATCACCTAATTTTCTCAATGAATTAATTTGAATTTCTAGAAATAATTATTTATTGAAATATTTTAATTAAAAATCTTTGAAAATCTAATTTATTTCAAATTTTGAAATTAAATTATTCAATGATTTAATAATAATTTTGTTAATTAATTATTAAAATACTTATTGCTATTTATTCTTCCACAGGAATTTATTTTTATTTATTTGAACATAAACGGGTTTGATAATAGTAATATATACATGTAATTAATTAATATCCCTAAAACATGATTGTGTAAATTTCTATCTGATATAATATCTACTAAAATTCGTATAAAAATTTTTTTTGATTGCTCGATTAAAATTCCATAAAATTTTCACTAGATTTTATTCATTCCAGTAAAATTCTATAGAATTTTTTTTACTAGGATTTTAATAAAATAAGATGAGCAGATATATATAAATTTTAAATGTTTAATTTAAATTTGGAAAAATCGAAATGTAATCCGAGGCCTGCAAAAGATATTTTTTTTAACAAAAATAAAGTTAAGGGTGGTCACAAGTTTCAGTTTATCAATTTCCCTGACAATTTACTGACATTAAAATTAATTTCCCTGACAAAATTATTTTTACAGGAAAATATGAATGTTTACGGAAAATGAGTAAAATTTATTAATTTCTAAAAATTATAATAAATTATACCCCTTCCCGAATTCAATTAATTTCTACAATTTTCAACTAAACTTCATCTCTGAATGGAATTAATTTAAATTATTTTCCAAAAGTTCTTCTGGAATTCAATTATTTAAATACAAAAACTCAATTTTTATAATAATTGTAACTCTCCATAGTTTTTTAAGCTATTCAGATATAAAATTTTCAAAAAATTATAAGGAAATTCTTACAATTAATTTTTTTTAAATATTTTAAAATAAGAAAATAAGAATGATAATAAGCTTTTCAATCTAGAAAAATTTCCAAACAATTAAAATTTGGTAAAATCTTTTAAAAATAATTTATTTTTGAAAAATATAAATAAAAATGATCAAATTTTTGAAGAATTTTAATTATAAACAGGACCATGATTTCTCAAAAATAAGTCCAAAAAGTAAATTTTCATAAATTTTTATTTACATTGTCAAAAGATAATTGAATCTTAAAAAATTATTAGAAAACAATTCTAATAATTAGTTTTTAAAAATATTTTAATGTAATTTTTCGAAAATAATTGAATTTTTTAAAAGAATTTTTGTATAATCTAAAAAACTAATTAATTTTTTGATGAATTTTAATTAAAAATTTTAAAACTGATTTTTTTCTCCAAAATGTTAAAAATAATTATAAAATTTTATTATTTATATTTGAATTTTTGGAAATATGTAATTGAAAATACTTAAAATATTGAATTTTAAAAAATTAGAAGCTAATTTTCAATAGTTTTTATTTTTAAATTTACATCATTAACATTTTTGATAATTCAATTCTTTTCAAAATTTGCAATGAAAATTCTTCAAAAGTTGTTTTTTAAAAATTGTAACATAATACTTGAACAAAATTAATTATTTTCATTTAAATTGTACAAAATTTCAATTATTCAAAAAGATTTATATTATAGATATACTTGGAAAATTTAATTATCTTAAAAAATTATTCAAAAACAATTTTTGAAAGATTTGTTTATAGTTATTTTTTCGCATTATAAAAATCAAAGTAAGTTGCACTTTTTTTTACTAAAAATTGTCGTATTTTGTTGCAATGTTTGTAAGAAAAGTCGAAAAAGTAGCAAGTTTTGAGAATAAGTTATAAAAAGTCGGAATTTTCTTAATTTCCCTGACAAAAATTTTTTTTCCTGACATTATCCTGACTTTACTGACAAAACATTTGATTCCCTGACATTTCCCTGACTTTACTGACATGTGGCCACCCTGAAAGTTGTTTAAATAAAAAAGAATTTTTTAAAATAAAAAAATCTTCTTCCAGAATTGCATTTGATGCCGAAAACAACGCCAATAACAGTACAAAAACACGTGGAATTAAAACCAAAGAAGAAACCATCAAATCGAGGCAAGACTAGAAAGACAAATCGTTATTCACATCATAATGGTGAATATGAAGAATTCGAATCAGGACTAGGCAACGATGATAATTTTGGAACAACACAAATTATGGCTGGTAGTACACAGGAGGGTCAAAGAACAGAGAGACCTTTGATAGCGCCTTCCATGTCACCACCTTGGGTTATCATGAACACAGCAAACAATAGACAAACTTTCTTATCGCAATTTTTGTTTCTTATTTTACTTCACATGATGACGCTTTAAAATTTATAGAAAAGCAAATTTCCAAACAAAAATTATATACCAAAGAATAAAAAAGAGAAAACAAACACACTGGAATTTTTGTGTCAAACGGAATTTCAAATTGCATATTTATGAATATATATAGAAAATAATGTAATTATGAAACCTCGCATATGATACAAAATCCCTAATATAATAGGTTTCATCGCATGTAAATATCGTCGGATCGAAAATTATATCTAGAAATTAAGGGAGAAAAAAAAATTGTTACATAAATCGTTGAAGCGTGTATAAATGCGCCCTGCTAGAATTACGATTAGAATTTGCGCGATCAGGGATTACTGTCATGTAATTATTGAATAGAAATTGGATAGTAATTATTGAGAATGAAAGAAAGAGAAAAATATGATTCCGAATCAAAGAAGTCTTCCTTTATGTTGAGATATTGAAATCAGTCATAAAAGAGCAGATGTTCCTCAAATTGTTTTTCAACAAAATTTTTTCATTCAAATATAATCAAATTTTTTCACTTTATAACTTTTAGAATTCTCATTCAATTTCTCCTTTGAGAGAAAATATTTTTCATTTTACAAAACATTTTGTAAAATTTCAAATAAATTGAAAATTACAATATTGTAAGTAGAAAACAATTTTTAATTTTTAAATTCAAATAAAAATCTCTCTAAATTTTCATTAGTGAAGTTTAATAATTAATTAGTAGAAATTATTATTTATTAGTTAATTCTAGTAAAAATTTTTATTAATTCAAATTTAGAGAGCTATTATATTATTAATTTCAAAATTTGTGAATTTAAATAAAAGTTCACTACTTGCAAAATTTGTAAAAAATTAAAAACTATTAATTTAAAATTTGTAAATCTAAAAATTTTTAACTTTGGATTAAAAAATATTAGTTTAAAACTTTTAAACTCAAAATTAAACTAAATTTAAAAAGTTGTAATACAAAAAATTTTCATATTTAATAAACTTTCCTTTTACATTATTTCTTCCTCCAAGGGAAGTGAATAAAATTAACTTTAAACCTATTATCGAATTTCCAATATGTAAAAATAAGTAATGTGAACTTTATAATATATTAAAATTTAGGGTAAGTTTTACTCTAAGTCAGGTGTCAACGCTTTAAAACTTTATATATTCGCGCCCTGTTTATTGAATTACCGCGGATACTATATTAAAATCCAGATAAAATATTTTTCTTTAAAAAAAAATGCTAAAAACATTATAAAAGAAAATTTTGTAAATAAGTAGAATATTCTTTACTAAAAGTGAAAAAGAAAATTAAACACAAAAAAACTATGTTTGAAAAGAAAGAACCTAATCTGTGAAAAAAAATTAGATTTTGTAAATAAGTGAAGAGAGAAAGATTAATGAACATTTATCATTAATTGTTAATATGAAAATTTAATGTTAAGTAGTTTCTAGAGTCTGTTCCCGTAAAAACGTTTGGGATTGATTTTAATATATTTGTAAATAAAAAAAATTAATCATTGTGTGTTCCATTCATGATAATGAGATTATTGAATTTCTATAATTAACATAAATTTTTAAATAAAAATCAAAACAAACAAAAAAAATTGAAAAAAAATTTATTACAAATTTTAAGAAATAAATGAACAATCGAAAAAAATTTATTTGATTCAAATAATTAATTAAATATTATATTTTAAATAAATATTACTAGTAACATATATATTAATTACAACAAATATTTTTTGTAACCAATATTAATATTATTTTAAATTTTTAATAAATATTACTTGCAATAACAAATATTATTTTCAACAATTCTTTTTAGAAAATAATTATTATTTGAGCCATGTAAACAATATTTCGAATTCAGAAATTATTGCTACAAATATATTTTATTTAATTAAAAACTAATATTTGCTGCAAATAAATTTTTTTCATTGAACAATTAATTGCTAACTTTGAGCCTCTAATAATTTAAATTAATAAATATAATATAAACGTTTTTTTGCGGAGTCGCGAAAAATACAAAAAATAGGTAAATGTCTATTTTTTTCAAGCAACAGGTGTGAAAATTACAGGTAGCAAGGTAGTTTTGAATTTTTAAACTTTCTTCAATATTTTTAAATTTATAAAAATTAAAATTTTTAGAATATTAATTAAATTCGATCGATTTACTAATCTTGCGATAAATTTCGCTCAAAAAATTTATTATCTTATTAAAAAAAAGAAACCCTTTTTACTTTTATCACTAAATTAAAAAATAATTTATGTATTTAAATTAATTTAAATATACATAAATTTTTTTATATTTTCATGAAAATATTTCTAAGGATCTATAAATAGATTAAAATAAAAATTCTTCAAATATAAAATTTAACAAATTTGATTTCAAAGTGGAGAAATATTTCAATATTTCTGCTTTAAAAAGCACAAAAGGCAATTCAAATAGTTCGGATAAACGTGGTTTTTCTAAATGTACAGGCATTTAAAGAAATATTAAAAATATATCGAATTCCAAATAACTTGATTAATAAAATTAATCAAAACGCAAATTTTTTTTTTAACTACTCATCGATAAATGTAAATAATAATAGTTTTAAAAAAAATGTTAACTTAAAGTTTACATTGAAAAGCAATACTCTAAAATTATTTTCAACAAAAAAAAATCTACTTTTCAAAATAAAGAATATCTTCTACACTTGCAGCGAGAAAATTGTAAAAGAAAATTTTTTTTTGTAGTGAATTCAAAATTACTATATAGCTATAAGAAAATTATCGTCTGTATAAAAAAAAATTTACCAAGATTTTTCTATATAGAAAAAAGAAAACTTAGAATAAAGAAAATGGAAACAATTCCATTTACTCATTTTTCAGCAAATAACTTTTTAAATTTACTTCTGTTGTAAAAGTAAAAAATTATTAGGCATTAAAAAAAAAGACTCAACATCTGTCTTTTATGACTGACCATCATAATTAAAATAGGTACTTGCTCGTTTGCAATAATGCTCGAGTCAGAACTGCGACAATAAATATCATAAACAGACCCCCAACTGTTATTATAAGGAATTTTATTTGACAAGGCGATATTACTTGAAAGAAAAAAAAATCGCCGACCCCTTTTTTAATGTATATTTTTAATCGACTTAAATTCTTTAACAGAAACTTTTTTTTCACTATGAAGATAATAAAATACCAAAAAGATAATTTCTTTTTTCAAAAAGTGTTAAAAAAATATACCTATATTTATATAATTTTAGTCAATTTTTGTGCAATATATAAATATACTTAAAATATACTGTAAATAACTTTATAATGAACGAAAATGAAAAGTATGAATGTTAAAAATAAATATTTTCGTTCCAATTTATTTATTTTATGAAAATGAGATGCATATATATATATCCCACAATTTTTTACACTTGAAAGAGACTATAATGAAGAAAAAATGTATTTTGTTTAAACAATTAGTTACTTGACTAACAAATAAAAAAATATTTATAATAAAATAAATATCCGCACCAAATAATTTTTGTTTACTCCAAAATTATGTGAGTTGAAATTTATTTTTTTTAAATAAGTTTTTATTAATCCAAATAAATTTATTTATTATGTAATTTATTTATTATGTAACATTTTTATTTTGTTATCAATAAAAATTTATTTGTTGTAAAATTTTAATTTTTTTGGAAATACAAATTTATTTGTTGTAAATTTTTTTCTCTTGTCAATAAAAGTTTATTTATTGTAAAATTTTTATTTTCTTGCCAATAAAAATTTATTTTTTGTATAAATTGTTAAATAAATAAATAAATTTTTGTTTTATTGTAAATAAAAATTCATTTGTTACAAAGTAACTATGGATTTATATTAAAAATAAATAAACAGTCAAGTAATTAATTCTTTAAATCAAATAAATTTTTTTAAATATATTTTAATAAAATTTCTATAAGTTTTTTCAACATTAATTCCAAAAGTGATTTAATCAATTAAAATTCTATCAAATTTCGCTATAAATTGACAAAAACTATGGATTTAAATTCCCCCTTATTTTTTGTTTAAAACAATGTGTATTACAAAAAAAGAAACAAAACCGAAATGACAAAAATAATCACATGAAATGTTTTCATTTTCGATTTTCAAAGACGTAAAATATAGATTAATTAAATTTTCTTCAGTTTTTGTTAAACAAAAATTTTAAACAAAAAAATACATTCAGTTGTATCTTAAAGAAAAAATTTTCTATAATTGTAAAAAAAATATGCATCGCAACGACACATATGATCTGCATAGGACCACATTTTACGTATGTACATACACCCGCACACTCTCAAACTGGATCAAAAAAAAAAAAAGGAAAAAAAATCATGTAAATATCAGCCAGTGATGAGTGTTAAAAATTCGTTTACTCTTGTAATCAATTGATTGTACACTCATGAAATTGTAATACAGAAATGATAGATTTTATATGCGACATATTAAAGACTCGATATATTGAATTAAAAAACCATCAAAGCAAATTGCAATGCAAAAAAAAAGAAGCAAAAATTTCATTCCATATTATATACGAAAATAAGTTTTCTAAATAATCTTCAATTCGAATAAATTCCAACCAAAAATTCAATAATTCAATTCATAAAATTCAAATTATTATAAATAATAATCTGTATGCAAAATATTTTGCCTAAATAATTGATAAATTCCTCAATGTAATACAACGAATAATAAATTGCAGACAATCCAAAATTAAAAAAATAAACAAAAACAATATAATTTGTAATTCAAAAAGAAAAAAAAAATTATAAGCTGTAAATTTTCGAAATAATTTACATATATGATTATAATTCTTTTTAATTACAGGGATTTATGTCGCAGTGTATTTTTGGATTTTATTAAATTTGAAAAATCTTCATTTAAAAAATGTTATTGAATTTCATTGAATTTTAATAAAATTCAATTATTTAAATTGAATTAAATTTTAATAAAATTTAATTGTATAAAATTATAAATTGAATTGAATTTTAATAAAATCCAATTAAACAAGAATTCAATAAATATAAGTATAGAAAAAAATCAATAAAATAAAAAATTCAATCTCAGAAGTCCGAATTTTCAATACGACAAATTTAATAAAACCGAATTTTAAAAAATATATTTTTCATTAAACTTTAATTTAGACCTGGTTTCAGATTTTAATTTTTCCTAATGTTCGGATTTGAAAAAATGTATTTCTTTTACTTATTTCAATTTAAATCATTTAAAATTAAATTAAATTTAAATTAATTTTTTGATTATTGGAATAGAATTTTATATTTAATTGAGGCCTTGGATCCAATAACTCGCCCGACGCTCGAAGGCACGCGCTAATACCAGTCGGGTAGCAGTGAGTGGCCCAGAGGCGCTCACTGCTCACTGACTGGCAGTTACGCGTTCCTCCGAGCGTCGGGCGAGTTATTGGATCCAAGGCCTCAATTAGTTTCACTATTTATAGTAATTCATGAAATAATAAATAATTTACTTTTATCAATTTTCATAATTTTCTCTTTGTTTCAAATTTCAAATATTTAATACTTCTCAAATGTATAATTAAAATTTGAGATATTTCTAAATATTAAAACAATTTTTTTTATTTTTTCATATAATTAAAAATTATCTAATTTTCTAAAATTTATTTTTAATTATTATAATTAATTATAGGTATCAATTTATTTAATAATTATAGCATTCAAGCCTTCAATTAACAATAATTATTGATAACAGTCCGAACATTAGAAATTAAATCAATTTCAATTTATTATTAATTTATAATTAATAATAATTATTGATAAGTCTGAATATTAGGAATTCGATAAATAAATGAAAAATTGAATTAAAAATAAATGTAAAACACTGAAAATCAAAAAATTAAGAAAAATGACTGAAAAATTAAAAAATTGTTACTACGAATTAAATCCCGTTTATAATTAAATTTATCGAATACTTTATCATTAGTTAAATAAAAGAAATGTCTAAGTATTTTACTTTTAAATTTTTCAAATAAAATTAAAAAATTGGCGCTTACATTCGTTAATGAAAAGAAATATTTATTATAAATTGCAATGATTGCGAATAATTATTCTTGGAAATTGTCAAAACGAACGCACAATTTCTCGTTGAAGGGTAAAAAAAAATTAATGAAAAATAAAAAAAAAATGTTTTATGAAGTGGAAGGCAGTGTACTATATTAACTCCAGACAATAAAATGTTATTATCGATGTTAAACCAACAATTATCTAAATTTTTTCCCTCCAGAATCCTTATAAATTTTCCGCACAATCCTTCTTCACTTAATAAAAAAAATCTCAGGTAAAAAAAATTTTTATACAAAAATATATATACACTTTTTTCAAAATATTCAATTTTAATTTCTTCCTTTTTATTTCTTTTTTTCTTCCAATTTTTTCATAGATCTTCGCTTTTCTCCATTTTTGTTTCGTTCTTTTTCTAAAGAATCTTTCAAATTTTCTATATGACTATTGTAATTAACTTTCTCAGCTAAGGATGTAAAATCTTTTTCTTTGATTTTCGGTATTGTTCTTTTCGCTGATGTGAATAATTTTTTAAACATTGAAATTTGCCTCGGTATTAAAAGAAAAACAGCAGTGCCTGGAATTCCAGCTCGACCGGTTCTACCCGCTCTGTGAATAAAAGCCCTCATGTGCTTTGGTGGATCGTACGAAATGACTAATTTAATTCCAGGAATGTCAACACCACGAGCCAAAACGTCCGAACAAATTAATCTACAAATGGAAAAAATAAATATTAATTATAATTCATCTTGTCTAATAATTTAAAAAAAATTTACAAAAAAACAAGTATTTTTCATAAAATATAAATTTTTTATAAAGTAAAATAAATAAATATAATGAATATAAATAAAAAAGAATAAAAAATATTTTATAAAATAAATTAATTGTATATTAATTGAAAATCTTAATTTTCAATAAAAAAATGTAAAGTTTGCAAAATCGAAAATTTTGTAAAATTTCTCTTACATTCGTGTTTCTCCCCTGAGGAATTTTTGATAAGCTTGCTCTCTATTTTTCGATGTCATTTGACCGGATAATTCGGCAATTGATAAATTCTTCTCGCTTAAGATTGATTTTAAAAGTAGCGTGAGACGATGCGCTGCATTACAGGAATTTGTGAATATAAGCGATTTCTCAAGTTTGTGATCAATTTTTTTCAAAAGATGATAAACAGCAACTGGTTTAAATTCCTCTTCACATTGAATTGCCTTTATCGTTAATTCATTTGGACTCGTGAAACGTCCAACATCACCTTCTTCTTTTTCATTATTGACAAATTCCTTATCTAAATTCACATCGTCGTCTCGACTTTTCACCACTGCTGTCGTATATAAAATGGGATGAAACAATCCTAATCTACTTAATTTCTCAGGATCCTGCGACAATGTTGCACTGAAGAGTAATTTTTGCGCTGGAATCGGACTGGAAACAAAAATCGAGAAAAATTAATAAAAATTTTACGAAATAAGGATTTAATTTTAATGTATTTAATAATACAATAATTAAAATATATTTTATTAATATTTTAATATTTAATTAATATTTAATTAAAATTAAATTGATATTTAATTACTGCTCAATTATTATTCGAAAAGAAAAATCGAAAAAGAGAAAATAGAAAAAGTATTTTATTCTAATTACGTACTTATTCAGCATATTATTAAGTGTGAGAGTTGGAGCTTTAGAATGAGGAGCTGGAAGTTGTTGAAGCCAATCAAAAGTTTCCCTATCAGCTTCATCAATTACTAAAAATTGTAAATCATTCAAGGAAAATCCAGAAGTTTTGTGAATGTGGTCTATTAATCGTCGGGGTGTCGCGACTAGAATATCAATTCTACTGGTAAAGTTGCCTTTGCTATCTGTAAGGTAAAAAATAAAATCAATTAACCTTTAAAGTGCTAAGTGTTGAAAAATCACGCCCAGTGCTAACCCCGGTCTGTCAGACCGCTATTCCCTTTCGACAGTTTTTTAGTCATTTATAATTTTTAAAAGACAACTATTATAAATATTTTTTATTTTTTAACAAAAAAAGTCATTTCTATATTATTTTGATTTAGTTTTTTTTATTTTTACGTAAGTTACAATACTGTTTATTTAATTTTTTGTATAAATATCTTTTACAATTAAATATTTACATTAAATAATTGCAATAAATTACAAATCACAGTACTAAGTTACCACTAATAAAATATTAAAAAATATTAATTATATTAATATATCCGAGAATTAACTGGTTTTTTTTAGCATGAACTGTTATCGCTGTCATTCTGGGAATTATTAAGCGTACAGTTAGGTGTTCCTTTTAAACAATACACGCAAACTTTTAAAGAACATTGTAGACAAACAGGTGAATCACATTCAGCACATTTGTAAGCAGTTTTGCGTTTTAACTTGTAATCACAGAGAATGCAAGTTTTTCTACCAGCATTCAATTTATCACTTAATTCCGAATCCTTTATTGAAGTTTCAGTCTTGAGAGAGATGTTAATCATATTTTTAACTTTTCTTGGCAAATTATCTTTTTTTCTGCAGTTAATATGAGGAAGAATTAAATCCATTGCTACATTTGTTATAAATTTTCGACGACTTAATTCAGACGCATTTTTATAACATTTGTAGAGAATAAATGCATTTGTCACACTTATATCTAACAATCTAAAAAAAACTGCCATTGGCCAACGTCTCGTACGCCTGCTCGATTGATAAATTGCACATTTCAGGTCCATAGAATCAACTCCCCCTTTTGTCAAATTATAAAAAGAGATCATTTCTGGAAGACCATTGTTATTTTGATCAGCATCAGCAAATGAATGCATCGAGGAAATGATCAAAACAGCTTTGTTTTTTTTTGGTACAAAAGATAACAAAACTCCATCTTTTGAATGTCCAAGAAAAGATGAATTAACTTGTCTGGTTTTAGAAGGAAGAAATTCTTTTGGTATCTCTTTTTTATTTTTTTTTATAGTTCCCACGTACGTTAGTCCATTTTTCTTGAGTTCTTGAACGACTTCGACGGATGAAAACCAATTGTCTGCAGTTACATTACGGTTCGATTTATACAGAGGCTTACTGAGACGCAAAACAGATTGAGTTGGTTTTAGAAATTTTTGTTCTTCAGGAGTCAAGCCTTGTGAATCACTATTTTTTCCACAGTAAATGTAAGCATTGTACAAATACGAATTCCGAGCATCAGTGAGACACATGATTTTTACTCCGTATTTCGCAGGCTTATTTGGCATATAGATTCTAAATGAACATCTGCCCCGAAAAGCTACTAACATTTCATCTATGCAAGCATAAGCTCCGACATTGTATACTTTTTGACAATTATCAATGATGTTTTGGAAAATTTCCGAAATTGCAGCTGTTCGATCAATCTTTTTTCTGTCGGAACGAGTTGTTGAATCATCGAAACGTAAATAGGTCGATAAACTTTTAAATCTTCGAGAAGACATTGTAGCACTGAAAATCGGTCGTCCTAAGCAATCAGTAGAAAACAGAGACTCTACATTCTCATGAGCAGAACCATAAATAGATGTTAGAAGAAGAAGTCCAAAAAAAGCTCTAATTTCAACGACAGAAGTCTCTTTCAAATAGGTAGGAACTTTAAATTTATCAGGATCTCGAGAATTTCGAGATAAACGTTCGTTTACGCTATTTAGCTTTTGATTTGTATAAAGGACAATTTTCTCAATAATATCTTTGTCGAAAAATAATTCCCATACTTTCAAACAATCTGGAGTCTCGCCTAATTCCAAAGCCGATGATTTCAAAGTTGGAAGTTTCAAAATAATGTTATGTTGAGGCATTCTTTTTTTCGAATTTGGTTTTTCAGCACTCCAATAATAATCACAATTTTTCCCTTTACCGAAATAACCTCCAGGGGCTTTTTCCTCTTCTTCTTCTTCATCTTCTGTATCGACTTCTTCTTCAGTGTCGGAATTGTGTTCTGATTCTATAACATAGTCGACATCAGAATCAGAGTCAAAATCATCACTCTGATTATCACTGAATTCCTCAACACTTGACTCTAAAACTTTTCGAGAATTTTTCACCTGCAATATTAATTTTATCATTCAGTATTTAATTTCACAACACTAAGTAAATTATAATTTAAGAAAAATGTGATCACAAATAATTATTTATAAATCTGTTGAAACAAAAATTTTTTCTCGTCAACATAACCTAAAATACAAAATCAAAACATTGGGAGATTTTTTTAATTATAACCTAAAGAAATTCAACTCATTAAATCAAGATTAAAAAAAAACAAATTTAAAGAATCATATAAAGATATGTTCATAAAATGTTTTATCTTAGCTAATCACAATATAAAATAAATTTTGTTTCAAAATACTTTTCTGGTTTTACTTGAAAAACATAATAAACTTACCTTTGAACTCTTCCGTGACATATTGACAATAATTCCTTCAATAGCAATTTAATAAATATTATTATTTAATAAATATTTTTTATAAATAATTACAAATTTACATTATTATCACATTTTTACAATATCACTATTCACGAAAACATCAAAACAATAAATACAGTCTATGAGAACTGTCAGTAGAACTAGCTGCGCGTCAAGTTGCGCAGACGTTACTCATGGGAATATACTTTCACTTAAAGCTAACCCCGGTCTCACAGACCGCTATACTTCAAATATTTATTTATATTACAAAATTTAACGAATAAAAATTTTTGAAAAAGTTGTCTCCTAACAGATTTTCATAAAATATGAAGCTACTAAAAAGTCCGAGTTCTTATTATACTTTGAAAAAAAGTTACAAGCAAAGAAAATTTTAATAGCGGTCTGTCAGACCGGCATAGCACTTTAAAGGTTAAATTAATCCAAGTAATTGTATTATTTTTATACGTTAATTTTAATTTTTTTCTTATATTTATTCTTAACATTTAAATTAAAAATATTTAAATTAAATTTTGCGAATTCTTTGCTATTATTTTGATTTTTTTTAATTTGATTGATTACCTCTAGAAATTAGTGCTTCCTGTTCTTTTTCAAAAGAAGCAGCTCCAGAAACTAAACCAACTTTTAAGCGTGTGTGTTCGAATGATAAATTATTCACATACTTTTCAATGACTTTAAACACCTGTAATGCTAATTCTTGCACAGGCAATACAATTAGACAGCGAATTTTTCTTATGAATCGTGTCCTTAATATTTCCACTATCGGCAAAACGTAAGCCAATGTTTTACCTGAAAGAAAAAAAGAAAAATTGTTAAATGAGAATTAATTAAATAAACTGTCAGGGTTGCCACGCTTTTACTCATTTCAAATTCCCTGACTTTTCCAGGTTAAAAAACGGAATTTTTCCAGTTTTTTAAAACTACATTTATATTTTACAAAATTTTTAATTCAAACCTTTTTGAAATTAAAAATGTTATAAATTAAAAATGTTGGACTGATAAAATCATCATTTTATACCTATTATTATAAGAATATTGTTGCTGTAACTTATTCAAAATTACTTTCATTATTTTAATTCAATTATTTTTTTCCACAATTTTTAACTAAAATTCTTCTTTAAATTAATTATTATTAATAATTTCTGAAAAATTTCTTTCAACATTTTCAAATCCTTTTGTTTACAATTCAATTTTACGAAATTTCATCGATTATTCAGGTATTCGGAAACTCTTCAATCAAATATATATTAGAAAATAAAAACTTTAAATAACTTCAAAAAAATACAATTCAACTTTTACAAAAAAATTAAATCTACATAATTTTAAGTTAAAAGTATGAAAAATTCAAACATTCAAAGATTATAATTTGAAATCTTTTCAAAACTCAATTATTATCTAAACTTTTAACCGAAATTCATATTTGAATCAATTATAATTAGAAAATTCTACGACAATTCAATTATTCAAATACAAAAAAAAATAATTTATTGAAGAATTGAATGTTTTTTAAAATTAAACTCTCATTTAAAGAATTTTATCAACAAATTTTTAAATAGGTAATTAAAATTCTTTTGACGAATTTCAATAAAATTTTTAAGAAAAATTTCATTTTTCGAGAAATAAGATTAAAAATGTATTAAAAATAATTGAATCTCTGTAAAAAAATTTCATTGAATTGAGAAAAGTTTTTGAAAATAATTGAAATTTTGTCAAGAATTTTATTGAAATTTTTTTAAATAATTGAAATATTGCCAAGATTTTATTAAAATTTTTGAAAATAATTGAATTTTAGAGAAAAATTTTAATATTTATAAAAATAATTGAAATTTTGCCTACAACTTTTTTTAAACTTTTGACCATAATTGAATTTCTGCTAAGAATACAAAAATAAATAATTTATTGAACAATTGAATGTTTCTCAAAATTGAATTCTCATAAAGAATTTTATTAACAAATTTTTAAATAATTGCATTATTTTGACGAATTTTAATAAAATTTTAAGAATAATCACATTTTTCGAGGAATTCGATTAAAATTGTATTAAAAAATAATTGAAATTCCGCAATGAGTTTTATCATCTACGAAAATAATAATTGAATCCCTGTAAAAAATTGTATTACATAATTATAAAAATAATTGAATCTCTGTAAACATAAATTGAATATTTTTGAAAATAATAGAATTATTGCGAAGAAAATTATAAAAATTTTTTTAAATAATTCATTTCTTTTGGAAAATTTTATTAAAATAGTAGATTAGATATTGAAAATCATTGACTGGAGGAGAATTTTTGAAAAAAATTGAATTTGTTAAAAAGAATTTCATTAAAATTTTTGAAAATAATTGAATTTTGGTGAAAAATTTTAATATTTATAAAGATAATTTAAATTTTGACGATAAATTTTTTAAACTTTTCAAAATAATTGAATTTCTTTGATGAATTTCAATAAAATTTTTAAGAATAATTATACATTTTTCGAGAAATTCCATTAAAATTGTATTAAAAATAATTGAAATTTGGCGATGAGTTTTATTATTTATGAAAATAATTGTAAATCTATAAATTTTTTGATTATTTATGAAAATAATTGAATTATTGCGAAGAAAAATTGTAAAGGCAACTCTTTTAAAATTGAATTAAGAAAATTGAATTAAAGAAAAATTAGTTTACAAGAATAAGCACAATAACTTTAGAAAACAATAATTTTCCAGGATTCCAATCAAAATTCCCTGACTTTTACAGGTTTTGAAAAGAAATCAATTTTGAAAATAAATAATATGTAAAAAAAATATAATACAAATATAATAAAATAAATAATTCTGTAAGGAATTATATTTGAAAATTAAAATTATAGGAAACTAATTTTTAATTGGAAAATTTAATTAATTCCTTATAAAGTTAATTTTTTATTTTCAAATTTAATTCCATACGGAATTAATTTTAAGAATAAAAACTAAAAATACAAGAAAAAAATAAAATTTACTTTATAAAAAATTTATTCTAAAAATAATAATTAATATTTTCAATTGGAAACTTTGATAAATTCCTTATAAAGTAATTTTTATTTTCAAAATCAATCGATTCAAAGTTAATCAATATTTTCAAATTTAATTTCTTAGAAGCAAAGAAGAATTAAATAGAATTAATTTTTATTCTTAAAATAAAATTTATATGGAATTAAAATTAAAAATAAATTTTTAATGAATTAATTTCGTTTAGAATTAATTTTAAGAACAAAAATTAGTTTTCAATCAAAAAATTTAATCAATTCCTTATAAAGTTAATTTTTATTATCAAAATGAATTCCTTTTAAAGCTAATCTTTATTTTCCAATTTAATTCATCATAGAATTTTGATTTTTAAATTAATTCCTTATAAAGTTAATTTTTATTTCCAAATTTCATTCTAATAAAAATTACCTTATTTATAAGGAATTATTTTTTTTCAGTTTTGAATTTTTATTAGTTTAAAATTTATTTGAAGAATAAAATTAATTCTACAAGGAATTATATTTGAAAATAAGAAATAATATTTTCTTTTGGGAAAATTTAATTAATTCCTTAAAAATTTATTTTTATTTTTAAAATTACTTCCTTTCAAAGTTAATCTTTATTTTCAAATGTAATGTCTTATAGAATTAATTTCAAGAATAATAATTAATTTTATAAGAAATTAAATTTGAGAATAAAAATTAATTTTATACTAAATTAATTTCGTTGTTTGTTTATAATTGGTTTTAGTTTAGAATTAATTTTAAGAATAAAAATTAATTCTATTTACAATTAAATTTGAAAGTAAAAATTATCTCTATAAAGAATTAATTTCGTTTTTAGTTTAGAATAAAAATTAATCTTCTAAATTGAATGATAAATTGTAATTACCACTTCCTGTGGGGGCAGAAACACAAGTGTCTCTTGACCAGAATCCTTTCTTTCTATTTTCATTGCATTGCAATAGCCAAGACAATAATCGAACTTGTACTGGAAAAAGTTTCGTGAATCCTTGACTCCTGAGATTTTCGATTATCTTTAAATCCAATTGTCCATTTTCGGCTATTTCATCCAAGGAGGGACCGCTATTTAAATTAGATGAAACAACTTCTGGATTCGATAACCATTCAGGCAAAACTCTCCTCACAGTTTCACCTTTCGTCTGCTTTCCTGCATTTAAAATAGTAAAATCTAAATTAACATCCGATTTATCATTTTTTGCATTTAAATCAGTTAATTCTTCGTTGGAGATATTTTTATTTTTTTGCTTCTTTTTCTTTTTCTTGATTGCTGTTTTTGACAATTGAATTTCTGTTCTGTCATTTTTTTCTTCACTTGCTGAATCGTCTTGTTCCATTTTTAAATTATTTTCATCTAATTCGTTCAAGTGTAGATTATTTAACTCTGGGGAAATATCTTCCTTTTCGATTTCCATTAAAGAATCTTGACTAGATTTCTTCTTTTTAGAAACTTCATTTGAAAATTTATTTGTTTCATCATAAGTTAAGGAACCATTCAGTTCAGAATCATTTTTATTCTTCTTCTTTTTTTTCTTTTTCTTTGAAGTCCTTTCTGTTTCTTCAGATTCATTGGGAGGAATTTCAGAAGTTACAATTTTCTTTTCTCTCTTTTGTTCTTTGATTCTCTTTTTTAGAGCTTCAAGATGATTTTCCTCTGAAACTACCGGCTGCTCATTGTCTTCTCCTAAATATCTACAAAATAATTATTAAAATTATTATTTTTGTGAAATAAATCAAATAAATTAAAAGTGAATTGTAATAAAATTTTATAAATATCATGAATTTACGTACCTGTTAATGACGAAGAGACTCATTTTTCTTTATTTTCTTGTTTTATTTCTAATATAGAAATGCACTTTGTTTTTGTCACTCTACTGTCAACAACTATCAACAGTATTGTTTATTTCTGTTTTTAACACAACTTTTAAATACAAAATGTTCTTACATTTTGTTTCAACTATTTTAAAATCACAAAATGCACTTATTCACTTCCTAAATACAACAAAAACTATTTATTTAGCAAATTTGGTTCTTGTTTTTAATAAACGTGCTTAAGAACCACGTGAAAATTTTTAGGTTAGAATCGTCAGCTGTTCGAAACTGAAATCACGTAATTACGCGTGCGTCGCGACAAATTTGCGGATGATTTAAAAAAAACTTTCTAGAGGAATTTATAAATATCTTAATTTTAAATATTTTTACATAAGTTTAAATAAATAAGTAAATAAATATTAAATATTCTTCTAAATATTTCCTCTTATCGCACATGTAATAAAATGTTTGCTTCTTTTTTTTGCTATATTAAATGTCAATTTGTTTTTGCAATAGCAATTTGTTAATTTAATTTATAATTACAATAATAAAAAATATTTAAATATGAAAATTTATTCATTTGTGAAAAACAATTTCATATGAATATTAATTTTATCAGTTAAAAATCAAAATAAATATTTGTTCTTCTGTGAAAAAAATTGTTTCACTTTAGTGATAATTTATGAATCAGTTGTATAATTTAATATAATAATTTTAATAAAATAATTATTTATTTTATTAATTTTTTATAATTATGCATATATTGCATAATTTATAAAGTTCCTGTGATCTTTTTACCAATTTTTTACCTATATAGGATTACCAAAGACACATACCTGGAATAAAAATAAATTTCCTGCGTAATCAAAATCCATTCAAGTTTCGTAACGATTTTAAAACGCGCACAGACTCTAATAACTTTTTTTAAAAATAAAAATTCCTTTTTTTAATTGAAATGTGATCCTGAAACAGAAAACAAATAAAAATTCATTAATAACAATAAACTAATTTTTTAGAAAAAAAATAAATACACAAATTATCAGGAATAAATTTCAAGATTAATTTTCAACATTTTCAAGAAATTTTCTAATTTTGGAATTTGGAAAAATAAAAACAATTAAGAAAAATTAACCTCAAAACTTGCCAAATTGTTTATAGTGCGATTAAAAATATATTTTTTGTTTTGCTAAAAAGGCACTTTTTTATGAAACGATAGTTTTTTCTCTCGATTTTTCCAATTGCATTAAATTCAGAATTTAATATAAGCAATATTCCAAAAAAAATATGTGTAAAAATTGCTAATGATAATTAATGGTTTGACAATTTTGTAAACGAATTTCAATTATAGTATAAATAATTTATAACCTAAAAATTCTAACTTACCAAATTGACAATTTTCGTCCGCCACGAAAACCAAATTAATAAGTTAATTAACACGTGGATACACAATCAGAAATCTGTAAAAAAAATCCAAATAACCATGATTAAACATTTAATATTTTAGGTTAGACACAAGATTAGAGGGTGAAAAACAATTGCAACTAACAAAAGTGCCACAAAAGTGCGAATGTTGTTCCGACAATAATGTATGCGACGCCATCTTGAAAAATCAACATTTTGCCGAAATTTGGCAACAATGTAATTTTAACCATTTCTTATGCTTTTAATTAGCGCAACATGATAATATTGACAAAACTCACTGAATATTCACTCCATTATATGATTTTGTAAACAATTATTGCGATTTTCGATAATTTTTCATGAAAAAAGAAATGTGTTGACCGAGTCATGGTGAGGGGAAAATTGCAATTTTTATCAATTTTACACACTTTTAGCTACTCATTTATGGCGCTTTCATGAAATGTGATACGGATTGAACAAATTACGAAAAAAATGCAATAGTTTTGTAAAAAAAATAAGGAAAATATTACCATTTTTTCGAAGAAAAGTTGACGATGCAAAGAGACGTTTCATCAGCGCTACTGCATTTCAACAAATGAACACGAAGGAACTCGTCGGAATGGAACGATTCTTCCTTGCTCTCTGATTGGTGGACTGTTTTAGTTGCGGGAAAATACAAACTTTTCATTGGTGGACAATTTTTTTTTGAAATTATTATTAGTATAAAATGTTTATTTTCAAAATTTATCTTAGGATTTATTTAGTAAATTTAATAAGTATTAAAATAAAAATATAAAAATAATCGAAAAATACCAATTTTTTTTTTATTTCCGTTTATTGACTCGACTGTGTACTGTTGATCTATTACCATATGATTTAGGGAGGTTCGCGCTGAGGTCGCTGTGAGTATAAGTCCAGAGAAAGAAAAAGCAGTTTCCTCTTTACCGATGGTAGATTTTATGTCTGACGCAACGCATTCAGCTTGAGGGGTGAACGTATTCTGGGGTATTTGAATCCTTGACTCAGTTTTTAATATCAAATCAGTTATTTTTAATTAGTTGAAATTTAAAGAGAAGTTTTAGTGAAAAATTAGTATAAATTGTTACTGTTTTAAATTATGGAACTAATCCCTATTTTAAACTTTAGAGGAAACAAAATTTTTTTCCATTCTAATATTTTAGAAAGTAAATAATAATAAGGGGCCATTCACATATTACGTGATATATTTAGGGTTAGGAGGGGGGTAAGCAGTATCATGGTTTAATAAATTTTCTATAAACTATAGAAAAAGTATCACACAGGCAGGGCTTGAACTAGGTCCGTAAATCCCGTAAAAGTCCGTAACTTTGCTTGAAGTCCGTAAAAGTCCATTTTTTTGAAAAAAAAGGTCCATAATTTGATTGAGAAAAGGATAAAAAGTTCGTAAATTGTACGATAGAATTTGGATAATTTCAGAGAAATTACAAATGATTGCAGAAATTCAATAATGTTCAAAAATTTTTTTTAAATTCTGGTCAAAATTTCAATTATTTTTATAGAAATAATTAAATTCTTCTCCGAAATTCAATTATTTTCAAAAATTTTCCTCAATTTAATGATTTTTAATAGGTATCTATTTCTAATAAAGTTTTTCAAAAGAATTCAATTATTTAAAAAAAAATTTAATAAAATTCTACATAAACTTTTAATTATTTTCAAAAAATAATACAAATTTCACAGGAATTTCATTATTTACAAATTTTTTAATAAATTTCTTCGCAATCATTGAATTATTTTCATTAATAATACAATTTTTACAAGAATTCAATAATTATTTTCGTAAATAATAAAATTCTTTTTAGGAATTAAATTATTTTCATATATAAATAATAAAACTTATTGCAGAATTTCAATTATTTTTAATACAATTTTAATCGAATTCATCGAAAAAATTCTTAAAAATTTTATTAAAATTCGTCAAAAGAATTCAGTTATTTAAAAATTTATATACAATAGATAAAATTCTTTATGAGAATTCAATTTTAAGAAACATGCAATATTATTAAAAAAATTGCTATTTTTGTATTTAAATAATTGAATTTAGTAGAATTTTATCATAAACATTGATTTAAAAATGGATTTCAGTTAAAATTTTAGACTATAATTGAATATTAAAAGCATTAGAGAGTAAATTTTTAGAAATAATTGAATTTTGAAAAGGTTTCAGATTAAAATCTTTGAAAATTTGAATTTCTCATATTTTTAACAAACAATTCTGTGGAATTAATTTTTTTTGAGAAACTTTAATTGCGGATTCTTTTTGAAATTATTTAAAGTTTTTTTTCTAATATATATTTATATATTTGAAGAATTTACGAATAATTGAAATTTTGTAAAATTAAATTCTAAACAAGTGAATTTGAAAATTCTTAAAGAACTTTTTCAAAAATTATTATAAAAGTAATGGATTTATAGAAGATCTTTAGTTAAAAACACGAATAGAAAATTCAATTTTGTGAAACTTACAAATTATTGCAAAAATTCAATTATTTTCAAGAGTAATAATATTCTTCGCAAAAAATGAAATATTGTTCAAAAGTATAATAAAATTCTTCTTAGGGGATTCAATTATATTTTCAGAAATAATAAAACTCATCGCAAAATTTCAATTATATTTTTAATACACAATTTTAATCGAATTTCTCGAAACATGTATAATTATTCTAAAATATTTTATTAAAAATCGTTGATAAAATTCAATTATTTTAAAATTTGTTGATAACGATTCTTTATGGGAATTGAAATTTAAGAAACATTCAATTATTCAATAAATTATTTATTTTCATTTTATTTGCATTTAAATAATTGAATTCTAGTAAAATTTTCTAATAAAAATTGATTTAAAAATGAATTTCAGTTAAATTTTTTCATAATAATTATTGAATATAGCGTGGATTTTTAAAAATAATTGAATTTTAAAATTAATTTTTTTGAAAAATTTTAATTGAATTTTTTTGTTATATTATTTTAAGTTTTTATATTTTCTAATATTTATTTATAATTAAGGGATTTACGAATAATTAAATTTTCGTAAAATTGAATATTGTAAACAAATGGATTTGAAAATTGTCAAAGAACTTTTTCGAAAATTATTAAAAATAATCGATTTAAAGAAGAATTTTAGTTAAAACTTCTTGTAAATAATAATTGAATTGTAAATGATTTTATCACTCGGTCATCTTCATATTTTATAGTTATGAAGAATTTAATTTCTAGTTTTAAGTAAAATGTTCTCTTATTTGGCTCGGACTGGCTATATTTTTGTCAGTAAATGGTCCGTAATTTTTAATTTTTGGTCCGTAAAGTCCGTACTTTTAAATACTTTCACTGGTTCGAGCCCTGCACAAGGGGAAGGGGATCTAAAATACCTAAACTATATGATTATAAATTAAGATTTTTCTCTAATTTACGAAAAAATGAATTCAAAAGAATACAAATAAAAATTTTTCTATTTCGATAATTTAAGGAATAAATAATATTTATTTGAAATTTTAAATAAATATCAAATTAGGAAAGTATTAATTATAATTTTTGCGAGAAGAATAAAATGACAGTGCTTGATACAGATATTACGAGTATATAGTTAGTAACATACATTCATCAGGTACGGGTATGCACCTGTATCTATTTTATGTGTCTATTGTTGGTAACTGTGCATATAATTATGTTTAGTGTGCATGTATATATACATATATATATATATATAAACAGGTATATACGTCAAAACAAAATGGCTGACAGCGGAAACCGTACAGTGAGGCTTGTTCTTTCGCGGTTCACGTTCCTCATAGTTATTCCAGTCTGACAGTTGAGAAGTAACATGAACCGCGAACGGCTTCACGATACTCTTGATTCATTTGATTCTATTTTATCTATATGATTATTAATTTCTCTATGTGCGTTGATATTATCAGTAGTTGTTTTTAATTGTTCCCATTTCGCGGTTTAATGACCCCTTCAACCCTATAATTTCACCGTCATAATGATTATGAACATCGATTAAATTGCGGATTATGTGTGGGTGATATTCAAGTGTTTTTTTTCTCTTTTTTCTATACCGCCGTCATATATACTACAGTTTCAGTAATATCAGTTTACCAAGGATTTCCTTATAAATAGAAAGTTGAATATATTAAAATATTGTTTGGAAAAAAAATCAGGTATGTCCTTTTCTTTTTGCAGAAGTTTTTCTTGGTTACGGAGATTGTGTTTTGATTCTTTGGCACTTTTTTTTATTATCATTTTTCGCACTGATTTTTATAAAAAGTTTTAAAAAGTTGTATTTTTAGTTGTGAAAACAGTTTACTTTGATTTGGTTTAATCTTTTTATTTACATATTTATTTATTTATGTATTTTTTCAAGTTCAATATTTTTCTTCTTTTTTTGCGCGAAACTAGGTTAATATGTATATTTTTAAACTGTCATTTCCATTTTTGTTGAGCAAAACAAACTGTTACTACAAATTGAAAATTTTAATTTACATATCTGCGTGAATGAAAGGAATTTCGTTTCTTTGAATAAAAATTATTTATTTGTTTTTTGAAAATTATCTGTTTTATTTGATAAAAATAAATTTTTGCTAAAATACCTACTAAATAATAAAGAATTTATTTTTATTGATAATAATTTCTTCCGTTTGCTGGCATCATTTTTTTATTATTTAATATTTACTGTGATTGATAGAATTCTTTTTCTTTAAATGCACTTTTTTTGTAAATAAATAAATAATAACAATAATAAAGATTACTTTATTATTATTATTATTTATTTATTATTTATTATAATAAATGTAACAAATAATAAATATTATAAAAGTAAATATAAATTAAATTTGAAACAAATTATGGTAAATAAATGAGAAAGCACCTGTAAATGTTTTTTAAATAAATACAAAATTTATTTTATGTTAAGATTTTAATGAAAGGATAAAATACAGACTTTTTAATGTAAATTTCAATTGTTCAAAAAATGACAGTTTTAAATGTAATTTTGTGAATTTATAAATATTTTATAAACAAATTAAAATCCAATAGAAATATGAAAAAAGGAAAAAAAACAATACTAAATTTTTTAACGTGCTACACGTGACAGTGAGTTCATGTAATAAGTGACAAAGCATCCTTTACTTGAAAATGTATATATGTATAAATTTCCCGGCGTAAAATAATTGATGAAACAATTCGTAATTTATAGTTTTCGTTATCATAAACTGGGAATTTTAAGTTTAAAAAAAATTAGTTTTTATAAATAGAAAAAAAAGTTATAAGGCTATTATATTATTGTTAAAAATTAATTATAATTAAAATATAATTATAATAAAAATAATAAAATTAATAATAAAATTAACAATTTTAAAAATAGTAGAATTTGAAAATTTTCTAATTTAAATTTTTGTTGAAAACACTAAATAGTTCATTTCTGGAGAAATTACAAATAATTAAAGAAATTCAATTATTTTCAAAAGAAATAAAATTCTTCTTATAAAATTCAACTACAGTAGAGACTCCATTATCCGGACTAATGGATGCAGGCACTTGTCCGGATAATCGAAAATCCGGATAATCGAGTAAAGTACGAATTAAACAAATGTTTGATTCATAATTTTAAGTATTTATTTGCATATGTATTAAAATAAGACTGAAACAAACTAAAACTTTTAAAGTCAACATTAATAAATATTTAGTTAAAAATATTTAAAAATATTTACATAAACATTTTCTTAAAATAATTAAAACACTTTAAAATGCAACATTTCGTGTTTGTTGGCGGGGAGAAATTTTAAATAGAAGTTAACGGCTTGAAACCTTATAAACTTTATATTAAAAAAATTTTTTTTTAATTTTAAATTTGTCCGGATAATCGAATATCCGGATAATAGGGGTCCGGATAATGGAGTCTCTACTGTATGTTCAAAATTTGAAAAAAAATCTCGTAAAAATCCCATTATCTTTATAAATAACAAAATTCTTCTCCAAAGTTCAATTATTTTCATAAATGTCAAAAAAATTCTTGTCCTAATTTCAATTTGTATTTTCAAAAAATTTTCTAATTTCAATTATTTTCAATATCTAAGATTTTAATAAAATTTTCCAAAACAAATTCAATTATTTAAAAAAAATTTTAATAAAATTGTATGTAAACATTTAATTATTTTCATAAATAATAAAAATTTCCCAGGAATTCAATTATTTTCATAAATAATAAATTTTTTTTAAGGAATTCAATTATTATTTTCATAAAAAATAATTTTAAATATTCTAGAAAATAATAATTGAATGAAAATGATGAAAATAATTTTGATGAAGTTACAGTAACAATTTTCTTATAATATAAAATAATGATTTTATCTCTCGGTCATCTTTAATTATTAGAAAACATGAAGAAATCGATCACTCCGAGTCTTCGACTCGGAGCAATCGATATCTTCATGTTTTATAACAAATTTTTTTATAAGTTGTTTAATTTTAAAAAAGGTTTGAATTTGAAATTTTTGAATGTCTTAATTCCTGTGGAAAATCCTGTTCCAAAAATAAGATTAAAAATAGAAATTGTACAAATATTTTTCTTCTTTTTCTAAAAGAAAATAATAATATTGTTAAAAAAATTGTGATTCATATAAATAAAAATAATGCAAAATAAAAAAATTTTCTATTTCTTAAACACAATTGTTTAACAATTTTCTAATTTTCTAATTTCTAAAGAACAAAAATCTGCAATTTCAATTTGACAAAACGTAATATTTAAGGGGAGACCCCACCTTTATTTTGACCCCTTTAAAATAAAATTATTAAACGAGGTAATATTTTTTTTCTTGCATCATTTTTAACTTGAAAACATATAAGACGGTCAAAAATATTTAATTTTAATTTTTAAAGAGGTTAGAATTTTTTTCTTTTGACCTATTGCATATTATTGCAAATCCATGCGAGAAGTTGTTTAGAATGATAAAATATGCATGGAAAAAAATTTTCGTTGAAAAATATTAAAAACTGTAAGAGGAGATCGAATTTTAATATTCAAATCTTTAAATTTTGCCGAAATGTCGGTATATATAAAGTATACCATAAAAGCTTCAGACTATGATTTTTATGGGTTTTACCACAAAAATGAGCTAAATGTTAATTTTAACAATGTTTTTTGAATAATAGTATCAAATTACGTAAGTATACAGTTTGGAAAAAAATTAAAGATTTAAGGCTTTCGAAATTTCGGCAAAAGTTAAAGATTTGAATATTAAAAATTGATCTTCTCTTACAGTTTTTAATATTTTTTAATGAAAATTTTTTTCCAAGCATATTTTACCATTCTAAACAACTTCTCGCATGGATTTGCAATAATATGCAATAGGTCAAAAGAAAAAAATTCTAACCTCTTCAAAAATTAAAATTAAATATTTTTGACCATCTTATGCAAGAAATCTTCACACTTCAGAGTGTGAAGGGACAGAAAAAATGAAAGATTGAATACGAAGATTATTATAGTTAATTATTAAAATTATAAAATAATTAATTGTATAAAAAAATAAAAGTACTGCTTGTAGAAAATATTTTCAAAAATGTGACTGGAGATTTTTTTTTTAAATTAATTTAAATAAATTCTGTTGAATTTTAATTGTATTTGAATTTTCATGAATTTTAATTTTAATTTAAATTGAGTTGAAGAAATGAATGGAATTTTTTTTTCTTTCTCTTTTTTTCTAAACAATAATAAGGATGCATGGTATATAAATGCTTTGGGATAAATACAGTTGGCAATCATTGCAAGGTTTCGACATTTAATTGATGAATTATTGTTCACGTATCGTTAACGTAATTACTGCGATAGAAATGATCACTATTTTAAGATAACAATTGTAAGAGTTTAAGTTTCCCACGTTTTGAGTTTTTTTTTTTTTTTGTTTAATCGATTGCCCTTGACCAAAATTTATCTCCTAGTACTTCAGATTGACTTTAATCCTGATATAAATATATCGAATTTGAATTTGATCATTGAGTTATTGAGTTATTATATGTTCTTATATTATTTTAAGTTCGTTTTTTTAATTCTCTTTAGAGTTATTTTTATTAGGGTTTTTTTTTATTAGTCTATTTTTGTTACAATTCTAAACTGTTTTTTTTTGTTAATTTTAAATGTTTTTGGTGGAAAATAAGGAAAAACTTTATAGACCTTTTTGAAATTCCATTTTGGCATATGTATTATTTTTAAATTCATATATTACTTTCAATTTATTATCATTAAAGATAATTAATCGTCGATTAATATCGATATCAATGTATACATTATTTAGATTCCTTTTTTTTATTATAATTAGTGGTCATCTAACGATGATTTTTAAAATTTGAGAATTTTATTTAAACAAATTTTATTTAAACAATTAAATTTTTTTCTTTCATTTTCATTTCTTTTTTGTTTGCTAAAATTTATTTAAATTTTATTTAGAATTATTAGAATTTTTAACAAATTTTAGATTATTTTGTATTATGATAATTTTATCTTAATGATAATTTTTGTATAATTTTATTTTAGTAAATTATTATTAATAGATTTATAAATAGATTTGTTTTGTAAATAAAATATAGGGAAATGAGAAAAAAAAAATTATCTCAAGTGAAGAGCATAGTATTGAATAAACTTTGATTTAATCTATAATAATTATTAATAGCAAACAAAAAATTATCGACAGTAGTTGAAATGCATGAGTTAAAATATAGTCATTTTGTGTTTAGCAAGGCCGCGCATTTGTAAACATTTTATCGCTTCCGTGGAATTCTTTGTTCCTCTGATGGCTTTGGTTAAAACTTTAATTTATCAACTTAAAATTACGTAAAGAAAATTTTTTGCTTACTAATTGTAATTCTGTAGACATTTGCAAATATTTATAATAATAACTTATTCGTTTGGTTATAATAATGATTTTATTATAGTTTTTATTATTATTATTATTATTATTAATATTATTATTTTTTTGATTTTTTCTGCAACCTGTATAGCCCAGCGGTCAATAAAGTGCCTATTATCGCCCTAGGGCAATAATACTACATTTCTTCTTACATCCAGCTGTCAATTAAGTGTCTATTATTGTCCTAGGGCAATAAAGTACTCATTATTACACTAGAGCAATAATGGTCACTTTATTGACCAGCTGAGTTTTATTATTACCAGCTTAATATTATTATTAATAGTAGTAGTATTGTTATTTTATGAGCATATTTATTATTCCCATTATTATTATTACTATACTCTTTTAATTATTGCTTTAATTTTAACTCAGCTAACTATTTACAAAAATAATGGAAATTTTATTTTTGAGTAGAATTTAATGTTTTGGAATAAAAAAATTTTTTTTTCAATCTGCATATGTCGACAGGATATTCAAGTGATGGCTAATCGAATGAATCAGCAAAAGAGTCATTGACTGTTTTTTAACTATTTTTTCTCTCTCTCTCTCTCGTTCTCCTTCAACATGATTGCATATTGACTATGGAGAAATTTTTCCTTTCTTTCTCTTGATGGATTTCCTACGTTTCATTTTCTCACTCAATATTTTGGTTGCTCAATATTCTTTTGTCATTTTAACTTAAGCACATGTATTCACAGCGGTTAATAAGATTTTTCTTTAACTCTGCGCACTGATTACCATTTACATTCTAATGCCACTAGATTAGCGTTATCCATTATGCATCAGTTATTTTTTTATAGAAAAAAAATCAAATGAATTTTAATATAAAGTTTTTATAAATTTTATATAAACTGATTGTTTTGGACTCTTGGTTTATTTTTCATTTGAGTCACAATTTAGATTCAATTTAATACTTGTTAATTGAATAATTTATAAATTGGTGATTTATTTTATTGTCTATTTATTATTATTTCTTATTGTTTATTTAATTATACTTTGTATTATTATTTAATTAATAATTGAATAATTTATTAATTAGTGATGTATTTTATCATCATTATTATTTGTTATTACGTTTATCATTAGCTATATTATCATAATTATTATTATAACTATTTTGATTATAAAATTATAATATTAATTATTATTATTATTGTCATCTATTTATTATTGTAATATTTTTGAGAAAATTATTTATTACTTGGGTGAAATTTCTCAAAATTAATAATTACTACGATCAAAGAAAATACTTATTATGGATTTATTTCCACCAATTTCTATTATTATAATAATTATTGAACTGATTATTAGGTATTATTATTATATACTTTTTATTATTAGTTTTACATTGTCTTTGTACATATATGATGCTTTTGGAAATTTGGTACATTGTGTAAAAAAGATTCAGATTGTTGAAATCGATTTGGGAGCACGGACTGAGACGGATTTGTAACCAAAAAAAAAAAAAAAAAAAAAAAAATGAAACAAGTTAGTAACGGTACGTGCCTTATTGTAAAAAAAGACAACGGCCTATTCTGCGTTCTTGGTTCTTGATGACTCAGACTTTGAACGTCTAAAAGTAACATGATGTCCTCGATTGTCTTGAAAAGGCGTTTCGATGAACTTAAAGTTCATCGATCAAGGAGAAAATGCTAAAAAATAATTTGTTTTATAAAAAATATTTAAATACGAATATATATTAGCAATAATTGAGAATCGTAATATATTTAAGCATATATGAATAATTTTTGATTATTAATTGACCATATTATGTCCAATATTATGACCATATGATAATTTGTAAGCCTATAAAACAAATATTATTTTGCGAACGATAATAATTCGGATTATCATTATAATATAGTATTAGTACAATTATTTTTAAATTTTAGTTTAATTTACCTAGATTTTAAAATTTAACAAAATTTAGGAAACTCAGATAATAATTCTTAACATGGAGTTCAGAGGAATAATAAATGATTACGTAATAACCAGTAATTGATTGAATTTTGCAGTAAAAGATCGAAGTGAAGTCAGCGGTGAACTTTCACTTTTTTCTTGCATGAAAAAATTCAATTAACCAACGTGAATTGTATAATTTTAATTTTAATTAATGAAAAATGTTATTATTTCTGTTACAGATATTAGTCTTGTATAGTTAACAAGAAAGAAAAGAAAAAAAAATCTGTCGCAATGGCAGAATATTGTGAATATCTTTGGGATCCCTTACGTGGCCACTCGAGTACTGCTCTTGCCCGTAGTCTTTATGATGAACAATCGAGAATCAATAAGGGTGATAAGAAACTTGCGATAAAGACTGTTAGGGCCATACTACGTGATATGCCTGGCGTTGGTAAATTTTTTTTATTTTATGATTCATTTTTTTATTATTACCGTTATTACCTAAAGTAGTAGGAACTTGATTGATTAGGTTCCAATTTAATCAAATATTGATTCGTATATTAAGGATTGGTAAAAATTGAGTAAAAGGAAACATAAAATGATGTATTTTACTATTTATTTTTTGTATTTCGTTTTATTTAATAATAGAATTCAAAATAGTTTACAGTATTTGTTAATGAAATTTTATTATATATATTTTTTTATATTATTTATTTTATTTATTTTTTAATAATAAACGTCCTTTAATAATTATTATAATAATACAGTGTATTTTATTTATCTATTTATTTAATCATAAAAAAACTCTTTTGTACAGTATATTTTATTAACAATTGGAAGTTTCATAGAAAACATTTACCTAAAGTTTCGAATGTTCAAATGAACGAAATATTTTATTGTGCTCTAATATTTTAAAAATTAATAGACTGAAATCGAAAAATATTGTAAATAATTATTTATTTAGCTAAAAAAATATTTTTTAATTATAAAAAACAATATTTTAAAAATAAAATTCGGATTAAAAGAAGTAATAAAAATATCGTCGTTCAATTGAACGTTCGAAACTTTAGGGACATTAGAAAACAATTTTTTTCGGTATTTTTTATAACAATAACAGAAATAATAATAATAATGACAATATTGTAAATTATTTATTTACTAGCAAATGAAACGCGCGGAACGTGATATTGAATTTATTATTCTTATGCAAGTTACAAAATTTTTTATTTTCAAATATAAATTTTAAAATAATTTCATAACCAAAATTTTAAAAATTCACTTATTAAGTACAAAATTAATTATTATTATTTATATTTTCAAAAATTTTAATATAATTCTTCTCAAAAATTCAATTATTTTTACATAAATAATAACATTTTTCGGAAGAATTCAATTATTATTTTAATAAATAGTAACATTTTTTGCAAAAATTCAATTATTTTTAACAAAATTTTAATAAAATTTCAGAAAAGAATCCAGTTATTTTCTAAAATTTTAATAAATACTTCTAAACAATTCAATTTATTTTTTAAATAGTAAAATCTTTACAAAAATTCAATTATTTTTAATAAAATTTCACGAAAGAATTTAATTTTGTTCTTAATTCGTTATAAAATTTTTGAAAAGAATTCAATTATTTTCTAAAATTTTAATAAATCCTTCGAAACAATTCAATTATTTTTTTAAATAGTAAAATTTTTACAAAAATTCAATGATTTTCAAAACAATTTTAATTAAATTCCTCGGAAGAATTCAATTTTTAAAAAAAATTTTTAACACATTTCGAAAAAATTCAATTATTTTTATAAAATGTAGTAAAAATTTTTTTTCAAAAATTAAATTATTTTTAACAAAATTTTAATAAAATTTCACGAAAAAATTCAATTGTTTTTATAAATAGGTATTAAAATTCTTCGCAATAATTTAATTATTTTTATAAATAGTAAAATTCTTTGCAGGAATTCAATTATTTTCAAAACAATTTTAATTGAATTTCTCAGCAGAATTCAAATACTTTCAAATATTTCCTTAACTTTAATTGAATTTCTCGAAAGAATTTAATTATTTTCAAATATTTCTATAAAATTAATTTATTTCCTATTTTAATAAATTCTTCGGAACAATTCAATTATTTTTATAAATAGTAAAATTCTTCGCTAAAGAGTCAAATTATTTTTATAAATAATAAAATTCTTCTCAGGAATTCAATTATTTTAAATACAATAATTTATTTAATAAAATTCTTCTTCATAAAATTCAATTGCTTTCAAAATTTTCAATTAAAATTATTAGAGAAACTCCATTATTTTTAAAAAATTCAAAGAAATTCTATTCAAAAGAATTTAATTAAGATTTTTAAAAATTTTAATAAAATTCATCACGAGAATTCAATTATTTTCATAAATAAAAAAATTCTTCGAAGGAATTCAATTATTCTCTGGAAATTTTTTGATAAGATTCTTTGCAAGATTTAATGATTTTCAATACATTAATTTTAAAATTAAAAATATTTAAAAAGAAAATTTTTAAAAAAGTTAGGAAACAAAAAAAGCAATCAACAACTAACTTTAAACTGCGAATAGATTACTAGAATACTACGATTATTAATATAGAAGATATTATATCAACTGGTCCAAAAAATCAGATTATAAAAAATTGTTATTGTAAAAATAATTACCATTAATTGTAATTTTTAAAAATATTATTATAAAAATACATTTATATTGTTATTAAAATTTATAATGATAAAAATAATAATTTCTTATTATTTTCAATTATTATTATTTTTGTTTATTCAGATTGTTTTGTTGTTATTTATTGTTTTTATTATTATTTGTTATCGTATTTTTTCTGACTAATTTTCCGATCCTTTTTTGGATAAAGGTGAAAAGTACAACATGATAAATATATTATTTATTGTGTACGCAAACGCAGTGGTAGAGTTTTTTAAATAACTGTAAAAAATAAAAAAAAATCTTGCGGTAGATTTAATTTTATAATTGAGTGCTCTTGCATAAAATACTAAAGTGTAAAAAGACGGATTTTTATAATTATAAAAACCGGGAATTATAAAGTAGATCACTTTCTTAAAATATACACGTATACACATATATCGTGTTAATTATTTATTTATTTTTTCCTATTACAGGTGAATTAATTATTTTGCAAATTATGAATGAGAAAATAAAATGTTTTCCTATATTTATGAAGATTTTAAAGAGTTTGCTTTTTTTGTAACAAATTAAATATATTAATTATTGTTGAGGAATTGAAAATTGTTTTTAAATTTATAATAAAATGTATAATTTTCTTCTTTTCGTAATTTTTGTTTTTGAATTCTAAGGGAATTTATGGTTCATTGAAAGTCTGTAATAGACTTACGTCCGGAAATAAATACTTCCTGAATGTTTCAGCCGCATGGCATTATAATGATTGTTTCTTCTATTGTTATTCGCAGATTTAACGCTTTGCAACGATGAATACATTACACGCTTCCTGTTGGCCCGGAAGTACAGAACTGAACAAGCGGCTGCACTGATAGTGGCTTATCAGGCACAAATTGCACACAGACAAGATATTTTTGGTAATCTCACAGCTCGCGATCCTGCATTGCAACGTGCACTTAGAGCCGGTATTCCTGGCGTTCTTCCCGCTCGTGACAAGTAAGAAAAGTGCTTCTTCTTTTTTTTATTTATTTATTTTCTTCTTACGTTCTTCCCGCTCGTGACATGTTAGAACAGTGCTTTTATTTATTTATTTTCTTCTTACACTGTAATTCTCGTTAAAGAGAAGAAGGAAATTTCTTCTTTTTTCAAAAGTAGTAATTTTGATGTCGAGAGTAATAGCAATATTATTTTTTTACTTCTTTATATTTTTGTTTTTGTATAGTTTTACCTTTTTATATTTTTATTTTTCAACTGCTTTATATTTTTTGTTAATTTTTACTTCGATTTATATATTTTCCCTTCTTTATATTTTTACCTTCTTATATTTTTACTTCTTTATATAATCTTCTTTCTTTATATTTTTATCTTCTAATATTTTTAATTTACAATATTTTTACATCTTTACTTTTTTCTCTCTCTATTTTTAATTCTTTATATTTTTACTACCTTATATATAATTATTATTTTTCTTACTTTATATTTTTATCATCTGATTTTTACTTCTTTCTATATTTTTCCTTATTTATACAGGGTTGCCACGCTTCTACTCTTTTCAAATTCTCTGACTCTTACAGATTTTCCAGGTTAAAAAACGGAATTTTTCCAGGTTTTTAAAACGAAAATTATTCGAAAACACAAATAACTTCATTTTTAAATAAATATTTAATCATTATTTTTTTTATAGAAATTAAGATATTCAAAAATTTGAAATTCAATAACATATAAGAATATTCTTATATTGTTACTGTAACTTTTTCAAAAATTATTTTTATCATTTCTAGAATTTTTAATTAAAATTTTTCTTTAAGTCAATTTTTTAAAATAATTTTTCAAAAAGTTCTTTGCGAATTCTCAAATTCTTTTGTTTACAATTTAATTTTACGAAATTTCGATTATTCTGAGATTCTTCAATTAAATATATTAGAAATTAAAAACTAAATAATTACAAAAAAATTCCATTAAACTTATTGAGAAAAATTTATTCTATAGAATTCTTAATTAAAAGCATGAAAAGTTCAAATTTTCAAAGATTTTAATTTGAAATTCATTTTTAAATCAATATTTATTAGAAAATTCTACGAGAATTCAATTATTTAATTATAAAAATATAAATATTTTATGAAACAATTGAATGTTTCTTAAAATTAAATTTTCGTAAAGAATTTTATCAACAAATTTTTAAAAAATTGAATTCTCTTGACAAATTTTAATAAAATTTTTAAAAATAATTGCATTTTTCGAGAAATTTGATGAAAATTGTATTAAAAATAATTGAAATTCAGCCAAGAATTTTATTAAAAGTTTTGAAAATAATTGAATTCTGGAGGAAAATTTTATTATTTATAAAGATAATTGAAATTTTGACGAGAATTTTTGTAAATTTTTAAACATAATTGGATTCTTGCGAAGAATTTTATTAAAATTATTTTGAAAAAAATTGAATTGTTACGCAAAGAACTGCATTAAAATTTTTGAAAATAATTTTATTCTTTAAAGAAATTAAATAAAAAATTTATTGAAAATAATACTTAAATTCTAATAAATAAATTGTAGCAAAGGTTATTAAAATAATTAAATTTCTTTGATAAATTTTAATAAAATTTTTAAGAATAATAACTTTTTTCGAGGAATTCCATTAAAATTGTATTAAAAATAATTGAAATTCAGCATTGAGTTTTATTATTTATAAAAGTAATTGATTCCCTGTAAAAAAAATGTTATTATTCATGAAAATATTTGAATAATAATATAAAAATAATTTGTAAATAATTGAATTCCTGTGAAATTTGTATTATTTATAAAAATAATGAAAGGTTTGAGTAGAATTTTATAAAAAATTTTTTTAACTAATTGAATTCGTTTGGGAACTTTTAATAAAGTTGTAGATATTAAAAATCATTGAATTGAGGAAAGTTTTTGAAAATCATTAAGTTTTCAAATTTTTTTTAAATCTAAGTTTTTTAATATTTCTAATTAAATTCATTTAAAATGGAAATTTTACAAAATTTTAAATCAAAATCTTTTGAAGTTCATCTACTTATATGAAAATTGTAAACGCAATTCTTTTAAAATTGAATTAATTTTGAAATATTTAAGTGAAATTAGATTTCAAAAATAAACACAATAAATTTAGAAAACAACAATTTTCCAGGATTTTGATCAAAATTCCCTGATTTTTCAATTTTTTTCAAGGTTTATAAAATTTCTTGACATTTCCAGGTTTTCCAGGTTTCCAGGTTGCGTAGCAACCCTATTATATTTGAATCTTCTGATATTTTTATTTTTTTACATTTTTACTTCTTTATATTTTTTCCTCCTTATATTTTGATTTTTTAATAATTTTTTTATTTTTTTTTCTATATTTTTACTTCTGAGCCATTCCATTACATTTCGACTAAAGTCGTTACCGACTAATTTAAAGAAATTATAATATTTTGCAGGAATTATTTTAAAGACATTAGGATCACTAAACTTCGTCCTTTAAAAATCACGTGTATTAACCTGATGAAAATAGTAAAAAGTTTAAAGTTAGTTAATTCGGAAAATAGCTTCGGGATCAAAGAAAATCTTTTTCTAGTGTTTGTATCTATACTGATCAATTAATTATTGTCCAATTTTCGTAATTTTTCGTTTTTCTGGAAGGAAGTTAATTTACATTTCAAAATCGTGAAAATAAAAAAAATGCCAATTTTAATTGCTTATTTTTTCACATTTGTAAAGAAAAAAGGAGGAAAGTGATAAGAAAAACTAAAAGTTAATCACAGGTACTTTATATTTGATAAGGTTTTATTCAATTTAATGATTTCTCTTTCTCACATTATAGTGGATGCAATTTGCAAAATTAGGTTATCTGCCAGGTTAACTTTAAAATAATTTTTCATTTCATATTTCTTATTATTAATTGTTTCTATCAATTTCTAATAATAAACTGAGTCATTATTAATAAATTCTAATCATTTTTTTACGTTTTCATAATGAATTATGTGTTTTCTTTCATATTTTTTAATAGGATGAAAAAGTTACAGTTTTTACGACCTCACATACTTTAGATGCTTACTTTACAATACATATTAAAAATATTTTTAAAAAATTCTTTTTGTTTAGTGATCCTAATATATGTCTTTAAAATTATTCCTGCAAAATATTATAATTTTCTAAAATTAGTCGGCAACGACTTTAGTCGAAATATAATGGAATGACTCTTCTTTATTTTTTTCTTTCTCCATATTTTTACCGTCTGTTTTTAATTCTTTATGAATATTTATATATTTTGCTTTATTTTTAATATGCTTTCAAATGTCACTGAATTTATTGAACTGTGAAATTTAATTTTTTCAGAAAGGGCAGGTGTGTTTTGCTCATCCTAGCATCACAATGGGATCCAATTGCTGTTCCTGCATTGGCAGTGCAACGGGCAATTTTTTTAGTCTTAGAAATTCTTATTCAAGACCCCAGAAATCAGGTATATACAGGAAAATAAAATTATAAAAAGAAAAGAATATAGAATTTAAAAAGTTTTAGATTATAAAATAAAGAATATAATATATATTGAATAAAATTTATAAATAGAATAGAATTTAAAGAAGAATATTAAACAAATAAATAAATGGTAAAAAATGGACAAATTTAAGTTTTTGGAGTACAACATAAAAAATTAATTATTAATGAATTAATTTAAAATGTCATTAAATTCCAAAAGTTTATTTCTAATATAAATATTCACTTTTTTTGGGAAAATTTGTTTATATTTGAATACAATTTTCAAATTCGATTTCTTCAAGTTTGAATAATTTTTACTGTTTTCTTTACATATATCAGGAAGTAAAGTGTTTTTTATTATTAATATTTATTTCACATATATGAAGAATTTTTGCTTAAAAGTACGAGTATAAAAAGATTGTGTATTCTGAAAGTTATGCTTGTTACGCAATAATTGTTATCTTCCGTTGTTTCTGAAGACACTTGCATTCATGAACATCCAAGTTCTTTTTATTTGCCTGACATTCAAGTTAAATACGCTCTTCCCGTTTTGAAAGAAGTAATGACTACGAACTTTTTATTTTAAACATTTTCCAGTTAACAATTTTCTTTTTTGGGGAGGCTGTTTTACTCTTCTTTGAAAATTTATTTTTAGTGCTTCTTATTAGAATTAAAAATTAATTTGTAAATTAAAATTGATTTCTAATTTAGAGTAGATGAAACTAAATTTTGCTTTGTATTGGAATTATTTTGTAAATTTAAATTTTATTAATTAAATATTTTAATATTAATTAATTAATTAATTAATTAATTAATTAATTAACTATATTAATTTGAATGTTCTTTCATTCTTTCATTCATTCACTTTTTCTGTCCCTCATACTCTGAAGTTGTCTTTTGTTTATACTTTTGTTTTTTTTATCTTTAGATAGATTGTTTATTATATTATTATGTTATAATTATTTTTGTACTTTATAATTAATTCAAAATTGAAATCGTCAGAATTTTTTTCACTTCTTTTCATTAAAAGACTAAAATTTTGTTAAATATTATTTTTTGTCAACTTGAAATTATGCAAATTTTTGTTCTTTACTTCTAAACAAAATTAAAAAATGGTTAAACAACTGTGATTAAGGAATAGAAAATTTATTTATTTTGCATTATTTTTGTTTATGAATCACAATTTTTAAAAAAAAAATTATTATTTTGTTTTAGAAAAAGAAGAAAAATATTTGCACAATTCCTATTTTTAATCTTATTTTTGGAACAGGATTTTCCACAGGAATTAAGACATTCAAAACATTCAAATTCAAACCTTTTTGAAATTAAACAAATTATAAAAAATTGTTATAAAACATGAAGATATCGATTGCACCGAGTCGAAGACTCGGAGTGATCGATTTCTTCATGTTTTCTAATAATTAAAGATGACCGAGAGATAAAATCAGTATTTTATATTATAAGAATTTTGTTACTGTAACTTCATCAAAATTATTTTTATCATTTTAATTCAATTATTATTTTCTAGAATTTTAAATTATTTTTTATGAAAATAATTGAATTCATTAAAAAAATTTATTATTTATGAAAATAATTCAATTCCTATGAAATTTTTATTATTTATGAAAATTATTAAATGTTTGCATACAATTTTATTAAAAATTTGTTTAAATAATTAAATTCTTTTTGGGAAATTTTATTAAAATAGTGGATATTGAAAATTATGGAAATTAAAAAAATGTTTGAAAATAATTGAAATTAGGACAAGAATTTTTTTGACATTTATGAAAATAATTTAACTTTGGAGAATAATTTTGTTATTTATTTATTTATTTATTTAACAAGTTTACGGGACAAGCCCTTTCGTACATAGTTATTTACAAAGATAATTGCGATTTTTACGAGAATTTTTTTCAAATTCTGAACATAGTTGAATTTTATAAGAAGAGTTTTATTTTTTTTTTAAATAATTGAATTTTTGGATTATTTCTCAAAAATTGAATTTTTTTTAGTGTTTTCAACAAAAATTTAATTTAGAAAATTTTTAAATTCTATTATTTTTATATTGCTAATTTTATTTTTAAAAAAGTCAACAAGCAGTAAGCTGCGCGCTTTACTGCGCGAATTGTTGCTATTTATAGTATTAATTTATTAATTTTGTATTTAAGTATTAATTTATTATTAGTATTAATTTATCAATTTTGCATTAATAATTTATTAATTTTGTTGAAAAAAATTTCAGCAATCTGGATTTGTGGCTGTGGTTGATTGGGGTAATTTTTCCCTGAGACAAGGTGGAGCTTTAGGAGCGGCAGCACTGCGAAATTTGGTGGCTGCACTGAGAGGAAGATTTCCTGCTAGATTTAAAGCAATTCATTTTTTATCGGCTCCACTTTATGTTCAAGCGACACTAGCTCTTGTTAAACCATTTCTCGATGAAAAAACACGAAGCAAAGTGAGTTTTTTTTCACTATTTATAATCAAACAAGAATTTCTAATTTGTCTAATTATTATTTAAATTAATTTTTTATTTAGCCGCGAATATTCCTTTATTATTTCCATTTTTTTCATTTTTAATTCGGTCGAATAAAAATTTTATTGAATATTCAAATGAGAATTCTTTATAAATTCTTTGGAAATTTTTAAACAATTCTTCAGAAATTCTAAAAAAATGTTTAAAAAAAGTTAAAAATTTTTTTTAATTTTTTAAAAATTTCTTTTAAAAAAATTCTTATGAAATAAATTCTAGTGAAATAAATTATATTAAAAATGACTTTAATTTTAAAAAGACCTTTTATTTTAAAAAAAAAGGAAGCAATTATTTCAATGAAATCAGACTTGAATCTGCAAGGTTGAGTAAGAAAAATTTCACAGTTTGCCGGAATAGAAACTAATAACCGCAAACGAATATAAATTTAATAATTTTGTCCTTGTCATTTCATATTATTACACTAACAGAAACGTGACACGTCTCGTAATTTGAGATGTCTTTTTTATCAGCATTTTTTTTTTTTGCATTTTTATATTTAAATCAGTTATTCATCGAAAAATTTTGTTTATTAAAATCGATAAAAAAATAAAGTAGAAATTCTTTTTTTCTTTAATAGTAGATTTTTAGTTATTTGAAAAATTTATTTGAAAATTTATGTGCTGTAAAATATTTAACAGAAAAAAAATAAATTTTTTATACAGAAGTAACTTGATATGGAATAAAAATATTTGTCATAAATTATGCTTATGACGACGAGTTATGTGCATTGTGATATAGAACAATATCACATTGTGTTTAAAAAAAAAATTCCGAGAAAATATAAAAGTGTAAAAAAAATTAATTGTTGTAATTTAATTTTAAATCAATTAAAGTGAATTAGTCAATTACTGAAGTGAATTAATTGTCTTTCAGAGACTTTTCTTTTTAATTAATTGGATTTTTCTTTTCATTTTAAAAATAAATTTCAAAATAAATTCGAAAAAATTAATTTCTATTGCAATTAAAAATTTTAATTATAAGTAATTAATTTGTTTGTTTATTGAAATAAATGAAATGGAACTTATTTTTTTTTATCAATTAAATTGTCTCTTTGAATAATTTCTTTTTAAATATTTTTTTGATATAAGAATAAGTTTTCGTAAATTTTTTTTTGAAATTATTGAATTAGTTGATAATTGATAATTTAAATTAATAAATAAATTTAAGGTTTAATTAAAAAAAAATAAATTTGGAGTTAATTTTAAGTTCTTTTTCAGATATACTTGCATGGAAATAATTTGAGTACTTTGCATCAGCACTTGCCAACTGATATTTTACCAGCGGAATTGGGTGGAACTGGTCCAGCATTTAATCCAGGTCTTTGGGCCGAACCTGTTATTCATTCAGCAATGAAAGAAGCTGAGTTGGCTAACACGAAAAGAGACAAAGAGTCCTCGAATGATGTGAATAACCTCAGAAATTCCCAGGAACAATCAAGGACGCAGGATCAAAAGCATTACGAATTTTCAGACAACGCAAAAAATGAAATGAATCGAACAGAATCCGAAGAACCTGATTCTGTTTTTGAAAACGAGAAAAACTTGAATTACTCCAAGGTCAGAAATAAGTAAAACTTTATCCTAAGAGCCTTTTTTTATTACATATATTTTAATTTTTAAATATTATTTGCAAACCAGAAAATTATTTTTTCGTCAAGTTTGTTTCAGGATCAAATATCAATTGTGTTATTTTGATCATTGTTGTTACTATTATTATTCTTATTAACTAAATTTGAATTTACATTATTTTATATTTATGTATATTTTTTGTTTCTGTATATTCAGGGTTGCCACAGGTCAGGGAAGTCAGAGAATTCAGGGAAAAGTCAGGAATTTTTATTAAAAGTACTGGAAAATATTGAATTTTTAAAATTCATGAGAAAACTCTGAATTTTTATGTTTTTTTTGTTTGCTTCGTAAACTATAAAATTACCACGAATTTTAATACAAAACCTTCAATTTTTTCTATTTCTGACAATAATTTCTTTTCAAATAATTTAATTTTTCAAGAACTATCATAAAATTATGACTTATAAATTATTTAATGAATAATTTTTACAATTTTCATAAATACTAGATTGTTAGAAGAATTTTAATTAAAAATACTAAAAAAAAAGATTTTCGAAAAATTAAAAAAAGATTTCAGAAATTCTCAAAATTTCAATTAACATTATAAATAATAAAATTCTTCATCAAAATTCAATTATTTTTAAAAATTTTAATAAAATTCTCGACAAAACTTCACAGGAATTCAATTATTCAATTTTTAATACATTTCTACGAAATTATTCAATTATTTTCATAAGTAATAAAATTTTCACATGAATTCAATTATTTAAAATACAAAATTTCATAAAATTATCAAATTCGTCACAAGAATTCGCAATTATTTAAAAAAATTTAACAAAGTTCTTTTCAAGATTTAAATTATTTTTATAAATAATAAAATTCTTCGCCGAAATTCAATTATTTTTATAAACTTGAATAAAATTCGTTGCAAAAATTCAATTATTTTTAAAAGTAATAAAATTTTTCGCATAAATTCAATTATGTTCAAAAATTAAAAAAATATTCTTGTCAATGTTTTCAAGTATCTTTATAAATAATAAATTATTTTTTCGATATTCAATTATTTTAGAAAAATTTTAATAAAATTCTTGACAAAATTTCACAGGAATTCAATTATTCAATTTCTAATAAATTTTTTCGAAATAATACAATTATTTTCATAAGTAATAAAATTTTCACAGGAATTCAATTATTTTTATAAATAGTAAAATTCTTCACAGAAATACAGTTATTTTTATAAAATTGAATAAAATTCGTTGGAAGAATTCAATTATTTTTAAAAATAATCAAATTCTTCGCAAAAATTCAATTATGTTCAAAAATTTTAAAAAAAATTCTTTTTTTAAATTTCAAGTATCTTTATAAATAATAAAATTCTTCTCTGACATTCAATTATTTTAGAACAATTTTAATAAAATTCTTGGCAAAATTTCACAGGAATTCAATTATTCAATTTTTAATAAATTTCTTCAAAATAATTCAATTATTTTCATAAGTAATAAAATTTTCACAGGAATTCAATTACTTAAAATACAAAATTTTCATAAATAATAAAACTCATCGCAGGATTTTTTATATTTTGGATTCAATATTTTAATCGAATTCTTCGAAAAATGTAATTCTTCTTAAAAATTTTATTAAAATTTGTTAGAAGAATTCAATTATTTAAAAATTTGTTGATAAAATTCATGATGAGAATTCAATTTAAACAAACATTCAATTATTCAATAAATTATTTATTTTTTAATTTAAATAATTGAATTCTTCTAAAATTTTCTAATAAAAATTTATTTAAAAATTAAAATTATTTGATTATTTAACCGAATAATCGATTTATTATTTATGAAATAAAAAAATAATGCAATGAATTATTGCAACGAATTTTATTACATTTTTTTTTAAATAATTGAATTTTTTTGAGAAATTTTACTAATACTTATAAAAATAATTGAATTCTTGCGAAGGATTTTATTAGGATTTTTGTAAATAATTAACTTTTTTTTGAAAAATTTTAGGGTAATTCAAATTAATTATAATTAATTAATTTGCTTTGTAATAATATTCTTATAAGTTGTTGAATTTTAAAAAGGTTTGAATTTTAACATTTTGAAGAATTTGTATTCCTACAGAAAAATAACAATGATTAAATATTTATTTAAAAAAAAAATTATTGATGTTTTTGAATAATTTTAAAATTAAAGAAATTTGTAAATAAATGTAATAGAACATTTTTTTGAGTATTTAATAATTTTTAGAGTGAATAAAAATATTTTTTATAGGGTCAGGGAAAAAGTGAAAATTTTGTTTGGAAATCAGGGAAAAATAAAATTAAATATTTGTGGCAACTCTGATATTGTAATTTATTTTTGTTATTGTGCTTATTTTTAAGCTTCTTGTTATTATTTTTATTATTACACTTGGAGAATGTAAATTTTAACAAACAATTTTCTTCCTGACAGGCACAAATTTTAAATTTAAATGGGAACGGTTCGGAAATGAAGAAAATAAAAGCATCAGTTTTAGAATCAATTCACAATAATTCGAGGAAAAATCAGGAAATGCAATTATTGATAAATGTTGAGGCATTAGATAAAAATCATCGTGGATTATCAATAAATCATAAAAATAGAAAGTCATTTGAGGAGCAGGAAGCTGAAAATTCCGAGTGCTTAAGTTTTAGATCAGATACAAATTCGAATGAATTTGAAATGGTGCCGAGTCAAGCAGATAGCGAGGATAATTCTCTGGAAATGAAAGTTGAAAAAATTGTCATTCGAACTGGAAAAGGTGAACCACTTCCGGAAGAAGCTAATTTAATAGCATAAAGCGAAGAAAAAAAATTAGATGAAAAAAAAACACATTTTTACATGACATTTGAATGTATTTTCAAATTGAAAATTTCTTTTTTGATACTTGAGAAGAAAAAAAGGAGAATAGAGAAGAATTTTTTCTATAAATCTCTCTTGAAGAGAATTTATAAATTCTCTTAATTATTATGAAAAAAATAATTTTTTAATTAAATTTCGATTTTCGAAATGTGTTTAAATTTTGATGAGAGAGAAAATCACATAAAATATTAAGGAATATTTTGTATACCACTGGAATTATTAATATATTTCTACAGTCTACTATTGATAAAATAAAAGTCTATATATAGAAAAAAATTTACAAGCAATTTCATGATTCGGGGAAATTTGATATTTAGAACAGAAATGACAAGATTGTAAAAGAATCATGAATTCATTATATTTAAAGTTTAACTACTCTTCTCATAAAAATTTTGCCAAAAAAGAAAAAGCAAATAAACAAAAGGACTTTTTTTGAAAATCACATTGAACAGTATTCGCCCCTTATACAGGCCTCAAAATTTTCTCAAAATATACAGAAACCGTCCTTTTTTTTCATCGACAAAAAAAAATTCGTACAGGAATTAAAATATTTACCAAAAAAAAATTTTTTTGATAATTTTAATAGTGAATAGTATCTGCCAGATCTGAAGAGCTCGTAACTTTTAGAAATTTAGAATATATATATGTAAAATAAGATCATTGTGATTGTATAAAAAAAATATTTTTTAGACTTAATAAATTTTGCACCAAGAAAACGATATTTTATTTCATTAATTTAATAAAGTTTTGTCATTAGAGAATAAAGAAAAATTCTTTTTTTTATAAATAAATTTTTTTATTTTATTAGAGGCGTTGACGAAAAGTAGTTATAGTTAATATATTTTTTTAATATAAAAACAACCTAACACCGGTTTAAAAATATTATTCGATAGTATCAAAATAGAGAATACTAGAATTAAGTATAAAAAAAATATTTTTATTGACATTTTCGGATTATTTTTTCAATTTCTGAAGACAAAAAGATTAGTAAAAATTTTTTAAAATTATAATTAATTTTTATTTTAAATAAGTGTACGGGACAAGCTCTTTCGTACTTTTCTTAATAATTATTAAATACGTAATTGTTTCTTAATAGAAAATATTTATTTTAATTTCTTTCTTAATAATAAATAATTAAATACTGATTGAAATTCATCAATATTTCGAACTCGGTTATCAATATTAAATATTATACAATTTTGATAATTATATTTTTATTTAAATTATAAAGAAGTTTAAATAAATATAATTTAACACTAAATTAATAATAATAATAATAATAATAAATCTGTTGTATTTGTAAAATATAATTTAAATGTTAATAAACGATAAATTAGATTTAATGCAGAATTGAAATAATTTAAAAATAATTTTACAAGACTATTTCAATATTTTGAATAAATAAATAAATCGAATAAATGAAAAAATAAATATTTTCTTGTTGATAATAAATATTTAAATATACATTTTTCATTTTGTTTAATTTAATTCATTCATTAATCTGTTGTCTTCAAAAAAAGAAAAAATAGAAAATATATATTTTCTTTTCTCTGTAAAGGCATTATTTTTATCACGAACTTTTTTTCTTTTTTGTACAGTAAGTTAAATATTTTTATATATGTCTGTATATTATAAATGTATAACAAAAATAGGAATTCTGTAAAAAATATCGAGTTTACATTATATTTAAAAAAATAGAAATTGTCAGACGCTTCATTATTTTTTTGCTTAGTCATTGAAGTGGAAAAATGTTTAATAACTTGTTTTACTTGCTTGCGGTAGAAAATCTTTCAATTATAAATAACGTTAGATAATTTATGCGGTTATTGATGGAGGAACCCAGCCTCCGAATCCGCGTTCTAATTCCTCTGCAACTGCTAATGTAAGGCGATCTTGATAAAGGCCACCAATTATCTGAAATTGTCGGAAAAAATTATTTTATTTTTAATGGAATTTAGTGTTTTTAATTTATTAATTAATTTATTATTTGAAATTACTTTTATCACCTATTGTTTATTATTATTATTCTTCCTATTATTATTATTATTATTATTAAAATTATTTTTATTATTACTATTATTATAATTGATTAATTAAATATTTTATTAAATTATTTTATTATTTTATTATTACTTTATTATTTTATCAAAATAGTGGATATTGAAAATCATCGAATTTCGAAAATTTTTTGAAAATAATTGAAATTAGGACAAGAATTTTTTTGAACATTTATGAAAATAATTGAACTTTGGAGCAGAATTTTGTTATTTATAAAGATAATTGGGATTTTTACGAGAAGTTTTTTCAAATTCTGAACATAGTTGAATTTTATAAGATTTCTTTTTTTTTTTTTGAAAATAATTGAATTTCTTCATTATTTCTCCAAAATTGAATTTTTGTTGAAAACACTAAAAAAATTCAATTTTGGAGAAATTACAAATAATTGCTGAAATTCAATTATTTAAAAACAAATTAAAATTCTTCTTATAAAATTCAACTATGTTCAAAATTTGAAAAAAAATTCTCGTAAATATCCCAATTATCTTTATAAATAACAAAATTTTTCTCCAAAGTTCAATTATTTTCATAAAGGTCAAAAAAATTCTTGTCCTAATTTCAATTATTTTCAAAAAATTTTCTAATTTCAATGATTTTTAATATTTTACTATTTTAATAAAATTTCCCAAAAAGAATGCAATTATTATTTTTATAAAAAAATAATTTAAAATTCTAGAAAATAATAATTGAATTAAAATGATGAAAATAATTTTAATGAAGTTACAGTAACAATATTCTAATAATATAAAATAATGATTTTATCTTTCAATTATCTTTATTTTATCTTTATTCTTTTATTATCTTATTTTATCTTTAATTATTTATTAGAAAACATGAAGAAATCGATCACTCCGAGTCTTCGACTCGGAGCAATCGATATCTTCATGTTTTCTAACAATACTTTTATAAGTTGTTTAATTAAAAAAGGTTTGAATTTGAAATTTTTGAATATCTTAATTCCTGTAAATATTTTTCTTCTTTTTCTAAAACAAAATATTAATTTTGTTAAGAAAATTGTGATTAATTAATTAATTAATTTTTAGTCAATTTATACTGAACTTGTCTTTTCGTATTAATTAATTAATTTAATTTTTTTAATCCAGAGGAATGGGGAGCAAATCGTTATTGTAGAACAAAAAAATGTTATTCTTAGCTTTAAATTCACTTCTTAATTAACATATTTTAAAATAATTAGGCATATTTATACTCGTATTTATATAATTATAAAATTATAAATTCAGATTTCGGTAATTTATTCAATTTTTTTTTTTACCTGAATACCAATCGGAAGCCCTTGTTTATTAAGACCTAATGGACAAGCGGTTGCTGGTAGTCCAAGAACATTTATTATTGCTGTATAAGTAAAATTGAATGGTTTTATAAGAGGCTCATGATGCAGTGGAGCAGCTGTCGGATGAGTTGGATACAAGAAAATTCCATCTTCTCCCAGCATATCCTAATTAATGACATTTATTATAATTAATAATGAATGTTATTCTTATTAAAATTTTATTTATTAACAAAAAATTTATCGTGCAAAGAAAATTATTTTAAAGTTTTTATTTTTTAATTTATAAAAAGAAATACATAATTTTCTAATAAAAATACATAAATTGTTTATTATATAGGTACTTTATTCATTTATAAATATAAATAACTAAGTAAATAATGCAAAAATAATAATTGTTTAGTAAGATTAAAAGGCAAATAATTATTTTCCAATCTCAAATGTTTGAAGTTAATAAATTATGATGAAATGAAATATTTTATCATAAGATGACATTAATGCGAAATTCACTATGTAAATAGTACTTTAATCATTTGTTCTTCAAATAATGACACTGTCAAGGACATGGAATTTAATCTTAAATAATTGATATTGATAAAATGTGTCATATCTTTCGTTACTATTGATTTGTCAGATATAATAAATGTGCAAATAGAAAAATGTTTACATAGTTTATTCGATTCTTATTCAAAAGTAATAGAATCTAATAATAGAGTTTGAAAATTGATATCTAAATTTATTGAATTTATTTGATTATTTCTGTTAATTTATTTGATTATGAAATTAACAAATTTTCATTTATTTGATTATCAAATTGTGAATTCAATAAATTAGAGTGAAAAGAAAATTTATTTGATTCAAATAACCACGATTACTTGTCTATTATAAAATAAATATTTACTTGAATCAAATAATTTTTATTTAATTCAAATAAAATTATATTTGAATCAAATAAATTTTTTTTTCAATGTAATTTAATTAAAATTTTTTTTATTTGATAAAACTTACTCTAAATTCTTGATAGAGTTCCCTTCCGCCTTGTATTAATTTTGTATGTTGTTCACTTCCAATTTTCATATTGAATTTTTCAAAAGCTGATGTCATTAAGGCAATTAATGTATGATTGCTCATGAAGAAAAACCATTTTATTAATTCCCACCAAACTTTAATTTGACCCTTTCTATTTGTTAATTCATAGGCAAAATCTTTTCCCTTTTCACCAGTCATCGCTGCCATCCAATAGGCTAAACTCATTTTCATTTTTTTCATTTGTATTTTCGTTGCTTTTATTTTGTGCGCCTTCTCAAGATAATTGACAATTTTTCTCATCGATTCATTTATTTCACGATCTACTGGCGATACCAAAAATTGACCACCATTATTTTCCATGTAGTAGAACTGAAAAAATTTTATTTTATATTTTTGAATTTTAATACTTTATTTTTTTCTTTATATGATAAAAGAATTAATATAAGTTGATATAAACAATAAATTAATATTTATTAATATTATATTATTTATTATTTATTAATATTACCTATGTATATATAATTTAATATTAATTATTAATTCAATTGTTCATTGAAACAATAATACCTTGAGTTTTGAAATATCAACTTTCGAACGTAGATTCAATTTTTCCGCGTTACTGTCGGCTATTATTTCTAAAATTGGAAGCATGTCCTGAGCATATCGACACATTGGTCCAATTCCCAGAAGTGAGTCTTGCTGTTCATTGTGTGTGCTAGGATATTGTCCGTGATTTGAAACAATTCCTGCAGCATGGGAAAAAAAGCGTTTTTATTTAATAATTTTTTATACTTGGGAAAATTTCCATTTTTTGTTGATTGATTTTATAAAAAAAATAATAAGAGACTACCCTTGGAAGGTTTATGACCGAAAATTCCATTAAAAAAGCAGGGCATTCGTATGGAGCCACCAATATCGGAGCCTAATCCACATGGAGAACCTGCAGCCGCCTGCAGACAACCTTCTCCACCTGATGATCCTCCGACAATGTGTCTAAAAGTTTTAATAGAATTTCAATTTATATAATACTTACTAGCTGACTTCTCACATACTTTTTTCAATAAAATTAGCACTTTTAAAAATAATAGAACGTAAAAATTTTTAATTCAAATTCTTTTTTTTATAAAAATAAAATATAAAATGGAATATATAGTTTTAATATTATTATAATTATAATAATCATATATTCTGACATAGGAAATTCAGGGAAAAGTCGGGAATTTTTATTTTAAAGTACTAAAAAAAATTTAACTTTAGAATTCATAAGAAAATTCTGAATTTTGGTGTCTTTTTTGTTTGACTCATAAACTATAAAATTACCACGAATTTTAATAAAACACCTTCAATTTCTTAAATTTCTGACAAAAATTCCTTTTCAAATAACTTAAATCTTGAACAACAACCATAAAATAAATAAATTATTTAATGAATAATTTTTCTTAAATATTTCAAAATTAATTCAATTTTAAAAAAGTTACGTTTACACTTTTCATAAATAAATGAACTTCAAACGGTTTCAATTTGAAATTTTATAAAATTTCAGATTTGAATGAATTTTGAATTAGAAATTTTAAAGAACTTAAAATTTTGAAAAATTTTAATAATTCAAAATTTTCTAAAATTAGTTGAATTTGTCAATATATATTTAATTAATTATTAAAAATAATGAAATTATAGAAGAATTTAATTAAAAACACTAAAAAAATTGAATTTTGAAGAAAATGATTGCAGAAATTCAATTATTTTCAAAAGTATAATAAAATTATTATCACAAAATTCAATTATGTTCAAAATTTACAAAAAAATCTCGACAAAATCCCAATTATTATCTTTATAAATAAAAAAATTCTTCTTCAAAATTCAACTATTTTCAAAAATTTTAATAAAATTTTTGTCAAAATTTCAATTATTTTCAAAATTTTTCCTCATGTCAATGATTTTCAATATCTACTATTTTAATTAAATTACGCAAAAGAATTCAATTATTTCAAAAAAATTTAATAAAATTGTACTCAAACATTTAATTATTTTCATAAATAATAAAAATTTCACAAGAATTCAAATATTTACAACTTTTTCATAAAATTCTTCTCTATAATTCAATTATTTTCAGAAATAATAAAACTCATCGCAGAATTTCAATTATTTTTAATAAAATTTTAATCGAACTCCTTGAAAAATTTAATTATTCTTAAGAAGGTTATTAAAATTCGTCGAAAGAATTAAATTATTTAAAAATTTGTCGATAATATTCTTCATGCCAGAATTCAATTTTAAGAAGTAATCAGAATTTTTCACACTTTTAATTGACAATTTTATAGAATTAATTTTTTTGAAAAAGTTTAATGTTATTTTTTTAAAATTATTTTTATTTTTTACTTTCTAATTTATATGTAATTGAAGAATTTACGAATACTCAAAATTTCGTAAAATTGAATTCTAAACAAATGATTTGAATTTTATTAAAATTCGTCAAAAAAATACAATTATTTAAAAATTTGTTAATAAAATTCTTTATAAGAATTAAATTTTAAGAAACATTCAATTATTCAATAAATAATTTACTATTGTATTTTAAATTTTAAATAATTGAATAAAATTTAATTAGTTTTATAAAACATGAAGAAATCGATTGAAATCGATTTCCTCATGTTTTATAACAATATTTTTAAAGTTGATTAATTTCAAAAAGGTTTAAATTTGAAATTTTTGAAAATCTTAATTCCTATGGAAAAATAATAATAATTAAATATTTAAAAGAGAAATTATTGTTTTCGAATAATTTTACAATTAAAGATATTCGTAAATAAATTTAACAGAACATTTTTTTCAATAAAATTTTTTCCTTCATGTTCTAAAAGAATATGAAGATTAATTTATATAATATTTTTAATTCAATTCGTACAAAACACTGAAAAATAATTTATTTGATTCAAATAACCGATTACTTGTCTATTACCAAATAAATATTTACTTGAATAGAGCAATTTTTATTTAAGTCGTAATTAAATGGCATTTGTTTCAAATACTAATAATTGGTTCAAATACAATTTCTTTTATTTAAATTATCGAAATTTCTAAGTAAATATAAATCTATTCATCTTCTTTTTTTAAATTTTAAGAGCAACATAAAAAAATTAAAATTAAATAAAAAAAAATTGATTTTTAAAAGAGTCATTAATTAAAATTTTTGATAATAGTTATATTAAAAAAAAAAATTTTGTAACAAGCTTGAATAAAAATTCTGTCAAAGGAAAATTTTGTTTACAGAGATAAGAATTGTGATAAAAATAAAAATGATAATGATAACTAAGAATAATAAAGGAATATTAAAGAAAGAGAAATTTAAAAAATATTTACCTTGTGTTGTAAGGATTTCTGCTGGTTCCGTACAATAAATTACTGGACTCCCACCACATTGCACCTTCCGATACATTTGTCGTTGCAAGAGGTATAGCTCCAGCATTTCTCATTAATTTTATTACATTTGCATCCTCATCGGCTATACAATCCTTACGGCATACAATTCCAGCAGTTTGTTTCATGCCAATAATGGCAACACAATCCTTTAAAAAAAAAATTATTTGCAAATAATTTCACATCTTTTTCATTTTTCAAATTTCTTTTTCTCTTAATGATACGTTGATTGTTTTCAGTTTCGTCATTTTTTTTTAAATTACATTCACTCAATTAGTTAATTTGCTTCCAATTTTTAAAATCATGCTCAAGTTTTCTATTTATTTTCTTTTTATTTTCTATTTATTTTCTATTTAAATTTCCTTGTTCTTTATTTTCTTAAAAAAAAAAAAATGTAACATGCTGCATATTTAGCACATTTTTCCTTCTTTTATAGTATTTCATAAAAGAAAATATGTTTCAATATGGAATTTATATATACACAGAGGAAAAAGGGACTATATAAACTATGATAAAGAAAGTGCAAATTATGTATAGTCGTCTTGTAAATTGTACCTATATTGCAAACCATAAAAGCACCTTTGTCGTAAATGGAACTCCAAATAGAGGTTTTTCTTTGGCAAGAAATTCAACTGTTGGAGAATTAGATGATTTTAATAATTCGTCACATTTTCTTGCATCTTTTAATGCCTCCTCGAAACGATCTTCAACCATTGGATTTAATATTGGTTGAATTTCTCTTATTCTATCGATGTACGATTGTACAACATCCTCTGATGAGAGCTGTAATTAATTCATTGCAAATAGTAATTGACCCCTTTTTAAAAAGAAAATATTATTCCTACATTGAAAATAGAAATCATTTTTTTTTCTAATAAACTTTTATCATCAATGTAGTAATATTTCTGATATTAAATAATATTTATTATTCCTATATTAATAATTACTATTATTATTGTTATTATTATTATAAAATTTGCAACAATTCACGAGACTGACTTCTCGCTCACTTTTTTGAATAACATTAGCAATTTTAAAAATAATCGAACGTAAAAATTTTTAATTCAAATTTTTTTTTATAAAAATAAAATATGAAGTAGAATATATATATATATATATATATATATATATATATATATATATATATATATAGTTTTAATATTATTATAATTATAATAATCATATATTTTGACATAGGGAATTCAGGCAAACGTCAGGAATTTTTATTAAAAGTACTGAAAAAAATTAAATTTTTAGAATTCATAAGAAAATTCTAAATAATTTTACTTAAATATTTCAAAATTAATTCAATTTTAAAAGAATTGGGTTTACAATTTTCATAAATAAATGAACTTCAAACGGTTTCAATATGAAATTTTATAAAATTTCAATGTTGAATGAATTTAATTAAAAATTTTAATGAACTTACATTTTTGAAAAATTTTAATCATTCAAAATCTTCTAAAATTAGTTAAATTTGTCAATATATATTTAATTAATTATTAAAAATAATGTATTTATAGAAGAATTTTAGTTAAAAACATTAAAAAAATTGAATTTTAAAGAAGTTACAAATGATTGCAGAAATTCAATTATTTTCAAAAGTAATAAAATTCTTATTATAAAATCCAATTACGTTCAAAATTTACAAAAAAATCTCGACAAATTCCCAATTATTATCTTTATAAATAAAAAAATTCTTCTTCAAAATTCAACTATTTTCAAAAATTTTAATAAAATTCTTGTCAAAATTTCAATTATTTTCAAAAATTTTCCTCATTTAAATTATTTTTAATATCTACTATTTTATTAAATTTACCCAAAAGAATTCAATTATTTAAAAACAATTTTAATAATTTTTAAATAATAAAAAAATTATTTTTAAAAATAATCCAAACTTCACAGAAATTCAAAAATTTACAATTTTTTTTATAAGTTTCTTCTCAATAATTCAATTATTTTCAGAAATAATAAAACTCATCACAGAATTTCAATTTTTTAAAATAAAATTTTAATCGAACTCTTTGAAAAATGTAATTATTCTAAAAGATTTTATTAAAATCCGTCAAAAAAATACAAAATTACGTTTAAAAATTTGTTGAAAAATTCTTTATAAGAATTAAATTTTAAGAAACATTTAATTATTCAATAAATAATTTAGTTTTTTATTGAAATAATTGAATTCTCGTAGAATTTTCTAATAACAATTGATTTAAAAATGAATTTTAGTTTCAATTTTAGATAATAATTGAATATGAAAATAATTTTGAAAAAGTTTCAGTAACAATATTTTTATTTCTTATAATATAAAATAATGATTTTAACACTCGATCCTATTTAATTATTATAAAACATAAAGAATTATCTTTATGTTTTATAACAAATTTGTTGATTAATTTCAAAAAGGTTGGAATTTGAAATTTTTGAAAATCTTAATTCCTATGGAAAAATAATAACAATAATTAAATATTTAAAATATTTAAAAAAGAAATGATTGTTTTCGAATAATTTTACAATTAAAGATATTAGTAGGAAATAAATATAACAGAACATTTTTTTCAATAACATTTTTTCCTTTATTTTCTAAAAATTCAAAAATTTTCAGTTTCATTTTCAATTAAATTTTCTAAATGACAAATAAAATTTATAAACATTTTTTTTTATTATTTTTAAAAAACTTTGAATTTTATTAAAACAATTGTAATTAAGAAATGGAAATGATGCAAATTATTTATTTATGAAAATTGAGAATTTTCTACAAAAATATTAAGAAACGGGACTAACTAATGTTTTTCTCCCCAAAAGAAAAAAATGAATTTATAAACAATATTGTTATTGATAATTAAGAATTATGCATAAAATGGGTATATTTCCCTACTTCTTAATCAAAATTTTTTAACAATATTAACAATTTTCTACTATTTTTTCTAAATAAAAAAGGAGATTAATTTTCATAATAATTTTAATTCGTATTTAATTGAAGAATTTCTGAATAATTTAAATTTCGTAAAATTGATTTGTAAACAAATGTATTTTTAATCTCTCAAAGAACTTTTTTCAAAAATTATTATAAATAATTTATTCCTGTGGGAAAATAATAATAATTAAAATTTAATTAGAAAAGAAGTTATTGATGTTTTCAAATAATTTTAGAATTATAGAAATTCGTAAATAAATGTAATGGAACATTTTTTGGAGTATCTAATCATCTTTAGAGTGAATCAGAATCATTAGATAATAATTAATTAATTAATAATTAATCATCAATAATATTATATTATAATAAAAAAAATGAAGAAATGTAATATTATCTGTCAAAACATATAGAAATACAAAAACATGAATTTTTAAAAAAATCGTGATGATTTTATATTTTATTTCTATTTTCTATCAAAACGTATAAAAAACAAAAGAATAATCATGACTAACTTCAGGTGTGGACAGAATAAAAGAAAGAATAAGACGATTATTATAGTTAATAATAATAATATTTATTATATTATTGAATATTAGTAATAATTAACTATTTTTATTAAAGTAAATATTTATTATTAAATAATATTTGTATGAAATGATTTTTATTTAAAACAACTAAATATTATTATTGACTGTTTGCTTTTGAAAAGTAAAATTTACTAATAAATAAGTAGAAATGACTATATTTATTAGTAAAATTTACTAATAAATTAGTAGAAATGACTATTTATTAGTAAAATTTACTAATAAATTATAGTAGAAAATACTACTAATAATTATTAGTTAAATTCACTTTTAGTTTCTGTTAAAATATGTAAAATTTTTGCTAACTAATTAAATTAGTCAAATTTGACTATTTTCTCAATTATTTATTTACTAGTAATTAGTTATTTTCTATTAATAGTACTTCTACTAGTAATTATTTTTTTAGTTAAAGTAGAGTGTTATTATTAAAAAATAACTTCTAGCACAATTACCATTAGTAGAAAATAAATACTATACTACAAGTATTATTGGTAGAAAATAAATAGTAGTACAAGTACTATTAGTAGAAAATACCCTACTAACAGAAGTACTATATATAGTGAAATAGCTAATTGCTAGTAAATAAATAATTAAGAAAATATTCAAATTTGACTAATTAAATGAGTTACCAAAAATTTATTAGTTAATTTTAATGCTTTTAACTAATTCAAATTTAGAGTAAAAATTCTGAATTTTTTACTGTTAAATATCAATGAAACTTACTTGTTTGTTGCGAATTTTCGTCGCTAATGCTGTTGCGCTGTGTAAAAGTGTTAAATCTTTTATTGGCGGTTGCATTTCCGCTGGACCACTTACATATGCAACTAAAAGTAATAATCCTCTGACTATAAATTCTATCAGTTTGTGAATCACAGACAATATTTTCCCAATGGTCTTCATTTTTTCGTGTTTCTTTTCCTTACTCGACATTTAGCTGAAAAAAATATTGAATGTTATATTGCAGATTTGAATTAATTTTTTATAATTATTTCATTATTGTTTGGATAATTAATTTTTTATTTAAATTAAATTTAATATGGAAAAATTAATTAGCCTAATTATAATAATTGTTTATATATTATAGTGTTTGAGTAATTGCCATGTCAACTATTTATACTGATGGAGCTAAATTAATTTTTATAATTATTATTCAATTATTGTCTGCATAATTAATTTTTTTATTGATATTAAATTTAAGGCAAGAAATTAATAATAATTGTTTACTTGCTTGCATAATTAGTTAAATTAATTAAAAATTAGTTATGAATTGAAAAATTGTATAACTTTCCTATTAAGTGGTTTTTATCAATTGCAATAATTATTTGATATGGAAACGAAAAGAGAATATTGCTAACCAGTGAAATATAAGATGAATGTTATATTCAAAGCATAAATAAAGTAGATGACCTCGTTTAACTTTAACTGCAGTTTACTTGTAATTGAATGAACGAATGAAGACTAATTCGGCATAAACTGGTCAAATTGTAATTCTTTACTCAATTTGTTTCGTTCTAATTTTATAGCGAAATTCAATATCATAACAATTTCATATTATTAATTATTAATATTATTATCATGAAGTATTCAAACAAAAAAATTTAATTATTATTTTTTATTGTACATATTGTGCTTTCGAATTTATCAAATTAATTTTTGAATTAATATTTTTCAAATGTTGATTAAAATATAAAAGTAAAAATTAAAATTAAAATTAAAATTAAAATTAAAATTAAAATTAAATTAAAATATTTTAAATGAAACATTTTTTTCTAGAATTAATAATAACAAATTTCTTTGTTTATTTATTTATTTATTTGAGTAGTAAACAGGCTTACAAAAAATAAATCTTTGTTAAAAAAATACAAAAAAAAGGAATAATAAACCATTTTTTCTCAGTTATTTTGCACTAGTTTCGTAGTAATTAATTAAATTAACTAATGGAGAAAAAAATGTATATTAAAAAAAGGTATAATTTTAAAAAGTGTACTTTTAGCATTTTATTTTTACTCTCAGAGGAATAAAGTTTGCGACAGTATTTTTTTCTCGTTTATTGAAGATAAAGATTTAAACTTCGTTTAAATATTATGTTAACTTAACATCCATGAAAGTAAACAGTCAAGTACTTTATACAGGTGTTATTATTTCAGAAAAAGAGAAAAAGAGTTTATTTTTGAAAAAAAGTTTTAAAAATAAAATATAATTTCCTTTGCAATTATATATTGTTTTACAACTGACTCACATATAGAAATAATTAAACTTGATGAAAATCTACAATAAGACGTTGATTAACATCAGTAAATGAATTTTATAAAATGCGTGTAAACAGAAAGAGTTAATATTTTTAAAAGTCACCGGAAAATTGACTTTTGAAACCTTTGAAAATAATATAATTAAATTATTTAATTATTAGTAACTTAATTAGACTTTGTGCTGTTGAATTAGTAAATTTTACTAATACCTAGAAATTTCTACTAATTTATTAGTAAATTTAACTGAAAAAGCAAAAATTATATCTTATTTAATTGCTGAGTTAATTATATTACACAGGGTGACAAAAAAGTTCCGAATCGAATTATAAATTTTTTTTAAACTATTATTTAAAATTTTGAGTTTTAGAAATTTTTTTTGTAAATTTATTTTATATCCATGTTTGTGTAAAATAATAAATTCCATCGATTTTATTTATTTGACTGGAGTTTTTGAGAATATTGCGAGTTTCATAGAAAACAATTTTGCATTTTGTTCTTGTTTCAATTTATTATTATTAATTCTATTACTTTTGTTTTCGATTTTTTGTCACGTAACTCTATTTCTATTTATTGTTTCGAAAAATATTAGACGTCATTAGGTAAGAATTTTAATTATTATTTGTAGTAGACAGATAGTAGAACAAATTTGTAAATTTAATTGTTATTGTCCATTTTACACAACATATTGTTTACACAGGAAAAGATCTTTACTTGAAAGAGCTATAAATTTTACTAAATAAGCAATATTTTGTAATTTGAGTTGTTACAGTTTAAATTTTTAGCTATTCTAGTAAAACTTATCGCTGTTTCAGGTGAAAATTTTTTTCCTTGTAATATTACATATTATTATTATTAGTTATTTTTTTAATAAATGTGTCACGTGACTTAATATTATATAGTTTTCTTTTAAAAACTAAAACTATGAAAAAATGAGGGACTAACTTTTTTTTAAAACAATATTTACTTTACTTGAAAAATATTTTTGTTTATTTTTGCACTTCGATTTGATTTAGTTTATGAAATTTGTCATCAATATAGGATAATATCCGCAAATTGTTGATTCGATTGGCATAACAATTGTCTGTGTGTAAAATACTGCGATCAACATTAATTGGCCTTTATTTAACGGTACTTTTGCCAATTCGCAACTTGGAAATCGGGCGCGGTGTCTTTATAATATTTTTTTAATAGAATTAAAATTGAAATTAATAGAATTAATTAATAGAATTAAAAAAAAATAAATTCTCAAAAAAAAATAGAAAAATTTTTCTTCAAAGAAAGAAAATGAGTTTTTTTTGCAATTTATCAATTTACATTTGCTGCGCTTAACGTCAAGGATAACGTCAACTGTTTTTTTTTCTACATTTAAAAGAAAAAGTTTTGTTTATTACTTACTCTTGTTTTGCTAATAAGTAATTGTGATATTCCAAGAGATTTTTTTATTTTATTTTTTATTATTATTAAATTTATTAGTCAATGCATCGCATGATTGAGAAAATTAAATTACAATAAACTATTGAAGCAATGTTCCGGTGCCTCTACTTTCCGGCAGAACGCTTAACTGACTGACTTGTGAGACAGTACCAAGAAGACTACAGTACATTAGGCTTCACTTGTTACTGTATATAGGTGTATAAAAACATTTTTCTGTAAGAGAGCGATAGGCCGACTAAAGTGAGGAATATAGCGAATTTTTATCTATAGTCTGTGTCCATTATTATATACTGTGTCATCCTGTAGTGAGACTGATATGGTTCTTTATAAAAAAATTCGCAAATTTTTGAGAAATGTCTATTTTGCCATCATTTTTTTTATTTATTATTTTTGTTTTCTATTTTTTTTTATTTTTTTTTTATTTTTTAATTTATTAATGTACTGAAACTCAAAATTTATTATTCAATTTGATTAAATTAATATTTTTTTACAATGAAAAAAACAATTTATTTAACTGAAATATAATTTACTTGATGCAAGTAAATGTTTTTTTGAATCAAATAAATTTTTTCAGCGTAAACTGTAGAATAGAAAAATTAACTAAAACAAGTATAATTTTTTATAAGTTTTGCAAAATTTATAAAATTTAGAAATAATAATAATAGTAAGAATAATAATGATAATAATAATATTTATAATAACAACGATAATAATTATTTTGCAATAAAAGGCGTAAATACTTTTATTGTACTTATTTTATTTATTTATATGTATTCAATATTTTTTAATTACTGTTACTATTATGTTTCAATATTTTTTTATTTTAGAAAAATTTTAAATTATTCTACGTCATTTTGGAAAGAACATTTAAATATAGCTAAAAGTTGCTAAAAGCAAGGAATGCGGTTGATTATGAATAGGAAATTCCAAATTTACCACTGGCATCATGCGCCCGCTATTCAATTTTAGCGTTATTCAAATATTACACGAATTTCTTTATAGTTATATATTTTATAATAACAAATTAAATAAGAAAAAATTAAAGACTCTAGTATTTATGTATAATTAATAATTATATTATGTAGAAATATGCAAATATATTAGTTAATTAATTAATAATTAGTTAATAAATAGTGAAATAAATAATTCATAATTAAAGAAATGATTGTAATTAAATTAAAGAAAGAATTAAAAAGTTTTTAAAAATGATAAAAATAAAATAAAAAAAATTGTTAATAAAAAGAATTCATTAGGGTTTTTTTCAAATTCAATAAGACATTAGGCTATTTGTACTATAAATAATAGACTTACATAATTTATATGTCTCGTTAATATATTTAAAAGAGTTTATGAGTGCTTTATTGATTTTAAGTAGATGAATATTTTTTTTATTGTTATATAAAAATATACATCACGCAAGCCTCCCATTTTTTTCTCTCTTTTTTTTGTACGTTCTACAAAGCTGCTCGTTTGTATATTAAAACTGAAAATATCATTTATGCACTTAGAGTTAAAATTGCATTTTTATACAAAAGAAATTCTAAAATTGCATTTTAGACGACGAATACCAAATGTGTTTTAAAATTAGTAATTATATTGCTTTGGAAAATGCTTTTTTTTTGTTACATATTCATGAGAAAATTGTGAAAAGAAATAAAAATGATTTTATAATGTGAGATTAAATAAAATATGCAAAAAGAAAATTTGTAAAAAACTAAAAATTTATTTTTGTTTTAAAAAGTAAAATAACTTAGCTCTTTTCTTTTTGCTATTTTTAAAAGAATATAGTTTTAGAATTAAAATATAATTTATAATTATATGAATTATAAAAAGTAATGAAATTGTTTTAAAAATATTTTCGATAATAGTTTTTAAAAGAATACGAAGTTTTATTATTTAAAAATATAAATTTATTACAAATAGGACTAATGTCGAATATTTTATAGTTTATACACAAAAGCTTTGTCATTAATAATTTATAATGAATAAATTTATGGGCAAAATTTATTACAATATGTCTCATTATGAACTTCCGTTAATAAAAACATTTTTAAAAAAAAATATATAGATAGAAAATAATATAATAGTAACAATATTGTAACTACAGTTTAATTTATTATTGATATGCTTTTTTATAACAAATTTCGTTACATTACATGTCACATGAAAATTAATGAAAGCGTGAATGCCAATATGACGATAAAAAATATGTTCATTACATTATTTTTGACTTATTAATTATCAAAAATAAATTACATTTAATTACAATTTATTATTTATTTGTTATTTTGTTTCTAATAGTTTTCTAGTAAAAATTAATTAATATTATTTTCATGTCATTAACATTCAAAAATACAATTATTCAGAAGAATTCTACACAAAATCACTATTTTTCTAAATTTATTCAGGGAAATCAGGAAAAAGTCAGAAAATTTTATCAAAAGTGCTGGAATAATATTCAATTTCAAGAATTCATAAGAAAATTCTGAATGTTATTCTTCAGCATTGAAAGATTTTATATATTTCAAACTCTTCCTGTTTTTAACAATAATTAGACTTTACAGATTTAAAATTGATTTTCTTAAATAATTTAAGTTTTGAAAAACTATCGAGAAAAAATGATTTTTTATGAATTATTTTGGAATAATTTTTTATTTAAAAATTAAAAAAATAATTGAATTTTATGAAATTTGTATTTAAAATTTTTTTGTAAATAATATAAATAAGTAGTAAATGTCACGCCCGCCAAACAAAGTATTTAATTTATTATTATTATCATTACTCAAAATAAATTCGATTATCTTTACAAAATTTCAATAAAAAATTCTTCGAAAAATTTATGAAAAATTACAAAAATGTTATCTTTTGAAATTATTACAGGTGACAGCTAAAAAAAACGCGCCCTAAAGCGCGCGTGTAGTTTCTCCTAGTATTAATAGATAATTAATAATAATGCCTATTAACAATAAAAACTGGTACTTAATCACTTAACTACTTAATCACAAAAATAATTAAAAAATTTCGTTAAAAATTGAAATTTACAAAATATATCACTGCTTTGCTAACTTTGCATAAAATTTCATATTTGTGCCTTCAAAAAATGAATTTAAAATTGTTTTGATAAAATTCTTTATCAGACTTAAATTTTAAGAAATTTTAATTACTCAATAAATTATTTATTTTTGCATTTAAATTATTGAATTATCTAATAAAAATTTATTTAAAAATGAATTTTAGTTAAAGTTCTACATAATAATTGAATATTAAAAGCATTCTAGCATGAATTTTAAGAAATAATTAAATTTAAAAAAAATAAACAAAAAAAATAAAAAGTAAATAAATAAGATAGATAGATAGATAGATATTTATTTCCTTAATGCTACATGTTTACATGTTAAGTAAATAAATAAATAAAATTCTTTAAAAATTTGTATTTTTCATACTTATAACTAACAATTCTGTACAATTAATTATTTTAAAAAAGTTTAATTGAATTTTTTTCTGAAATTATTTGAAGTATTTATTTTTTAATTCGTATTTAGTTGAAGAATTTCTGAATAATTTAAATTTCGTAAACAAATGGATTTTAAAATTCTCAAAGAACTTTTTTCAAAAATTATTAAAAATAATTTATTCCTGTGGGAAAATAATAATGATTAAAATTTATTTAGAAAAGAAGTTATTGATGTTTTCAAATAATTTTAGAATTAAAGAAATTCGTAAATAAATTTAATGGAACATTTTTTGGAGTATCTAATCATTTTTAGAGTTAATCAGAATATTCTTTAGAGTCAAGGAAGAAGTCAAAATTTTGTCAAGTAATAAAGTTTTTCATATTAAAAAAAAGAAAATATTTCACAGGTTTTACATTTGTTAATTTTCTAAACTGTTTGTTACAAAATGTTAATTTTTTAGAAACAAAGGAAATAATGAATAATATAATAATATTAATAATTTTTTTAGATTAATAAAAATATTTTTGAATTATTTAAGAAATAAAAATAATATTATTAAATTAAAAGAATAATAACAAAATAAAGAAATGTAATATTATCTATCAAAAATTCAAAACATATAAAAAACAAAAGCATGAACTTTGTTAAAAAATCGTTATTTTTATATTTTATTTCTATTTTTTATCAAACGAATAAAAAACAAAAGAATAACCATGACTAACTTCAGGTGTGGACAGAATAAAAGAAAGAATAAGACGATTATTATAGTTAATTAAGAATATTGTAACTGAAACTTCTTCAAAATTATTTTCATCATTCCAATTCAATTATTATTTTCTAGAATTTTTAACAAAAATTCTTCTCTAAATCAACTATTTTTTAATAATTTTTGAAAAAGTTCTTTGAGAATTTGCAAATACATTTGTTTAAAATTCAATTTTACGAAATTTTGATTATTCGAAAATTCATCAATTAAATACACAAGTAAGAAAATTTTTGGAAATTTTCCCAAAAAAATTTAGGAAGCAAATTTCACTAATTATTTAGAAAAATTTACTAACATAGATAAAGAAATTTTTCTAAAAAAATATCGAAAACTTCCTATATGAATTTAGAAACATTCCCATAAAATAATGTAGAAAAAATCACAAAAGTTTGGAAAAATTCACTTAAATGTTTAGGAAAATATTTTTAAAATTTAATTCTTATAAAGAATTTTATCAACAAATTTTTAAATAATTTAATTTTTTTGACGATTTTTAATTAAATTTTTAAAAATAATTACTTTTTTCGAGAAATTCGATTAAAATTGTACTAAAAATAATTAAAATTCTACGATGAGCTTTATTATTTATGAAAATAATTGAATTTCTAAAACAAATTTATTATTTATGAAAATAATTGAATTCATAACAAAAATTTATTATTTATGAAATTAATTGAATTATTGCGAAGAAATTTACAGAAAATTTTTTAATAATTATTGACTTCATGTGCAATTTTTATTATTTATGAAAATTATTAAATGTTTGAGTACAATTTTATTAAATGTTTTTTTAAATAATTGAAGTCTTTTATGAAATTTATTAAAATAGTAGATATTGAAAATCATTGAAATGAGGAAAATTTTTAAAAATAATTGAATTTCGGAGAAGAATTTTGTTATTTATAATGATAATTGTAATTTTGACGAGAATTTTTCTTTACATTTTGAAAATAATTGAATTTTTGCAATCATTTAATTTTGAAATATTTGAGTAAAATTATTCATTAAATAATTTATTTATTTTATGATAGTTGTTCAAGAATATAAAGTTATTTAAAAAGAAATTACTGTCAGAAATAGAAAAAATAAAAGGTTTTGTATTAGAATTCGTGATAATTTTATAGTTTATGAGTCAAACAAAAAAGACACAAAACAAAAAAAAAATTCAGAATTTTCTTATGAAATCTAAAAATTTAATTTTTTCCAGTACTTTGTCTGCGACTGTTTCTTGAATTCCCTACTGTCTCAGAATACCTATATATAATTATTGTGGTTATAATAGTAATAATCTATATTCCAATTTACATTTTATATTTATGGAAAAAAAATTTGAATTAAAAATTGCTAAATTCTATTTTTTTAAATTGCTAATTTTATTTAAAAACGTTTAGTGCCGCGCGCTTAAGCGCGCGAATTATTGCTAGTTCATGAAATAATCATTATATAATTTGCCATTTGGTATTATTTTTATTATTATTATATTGTTTTTATGTTTTATTTATAATAACAATAATAACAATAATAATAATAATAATAATAATAATAATAATATTTATAGAATAAAATTTAAAAAATAAAGTATGAAATACTTTCGGAAAAATAAATTAACGAATTTTGATGTAATAGAAGAAAAATGTACAGTGCAATACAAATTTAATTGAGCTTATAATAATTGTGCAATTTTCTGCATTATTATTTCGTTAATTATTTAAAAATTACTTAAAAGGATTTATATGATTTATATACCCTTTTATATCCTTGCACGTTTTTACACTCATGAATATGTAATGAATGAATTATACACACTATACTCTATATAAATCCTAATGAGGAAAATAAAAACTAAAAATGTTTTCCTCGTGAAGATTTTTTTAAAAAAAAAAAGGCAATGACTTACTTTACAAATGTTTATGCTTAATAAAATTTTAATGATGACATTCAAAAAAATAATATAAGGTAAAAAATTTAATTTATATGCGAACAATTTTTTTTCAATAAAAAATAAAATTTTATTTGAAAAAAGAAATAAAAAGTAAAATTTTTTATTGATTTTTTGAAGATAAATGCGTCCCTGAGGGAGCGTTTGTATGTGTGAATATAATTGCTATCGTCTATCAAACGTTTTGCCTTTCAGTGCGACAGAGTAAATCTGGACTTTAATAAACATTTGCTCTTTACATTGTCATTAGAAGAAAGTCATAATTTCGATTGTTATTTAATTGATATTATTCAATTTGTAATTTATAGAATGTTTTTAATATACAAATGTGATGTGATATTTTCATTTTAATTCAAGTGAGAAAAAGAGGGAAACACTTTTTAAGGTTAAAATACTCAACGAATGACTCGCACACGTAAGGATTTGTTTTTTTTTCAGTACAATTTTATTTTAAATTTCTTGCAAATGCTATTATAATTGTCACTTGTGGAGAAAAGATAAAAATGACTCACACACATTTATTTACTTTTTATTTTTCTTACTACGATAAAATAGACTTACTTTTTTATTTTCTTGTATAGCTAGTATGCAACAGTCTCGTACTCCTGATATGTAACAACTGCCATAATTTTAATTGTTTATTAAATAAATTAATTGGTTGAAAAAAATTATTGAATTGTTTACATAGTGATGATTGTGTAAATGAATTTTCTTTTGACAAAAGATAGATAGAGAGAGAAGAATAGATGTTCAGATGCAATGGAGCTTCAGTTGTTAAAATCGATGACTAGTCGTGTTCTTGATAAATAATTTTATTCAAAAAAAAAAACATTTTCTCTATTAAATATTTTTTTCTATGTAATTTCTTTCTAAATATTGGTGAATTTTGGAAATGTTTGATTTTTGTAAATATTTTATTGTTTACCAAATATTAAAGGAGATAAATTTTAGATATTTGAAATTATTTGTACGCATGTGTTGCAGATGTTAGATTGGTCGGTAAATGCTTCGGTAGCTGCTGCCATCTCATGCTTTGTTTCGTAAATTTTTTAAAATTTTATAAAATAAATTTTATTGACATTATTTACGTCTTGAGTAGATTTTGTTTTGTTTATTTAAAGGTCAAAGTTGTGTAAAAGTGAGTCATTTACTGATTATAATAGTAATTGTTATTCTAATGCTTATTTTTGAATTAAATATTTTATTTCCTAATGATTAATTTAATAATTAATAATTTTATTTCCTAACGACTCATTTAATAATTATTAATTTTATTTCCTAACGATTCATTTAATAATTAATAATTTTATTTTCTAACGATTTATTTAATAATTAATAACATTTATATTAATAATTTGATTATAATAATTGTTTTTAATTTAATTGTATTTATTAAATTGTAATTTGTAACTAAATTAAATACTAATTTATTTTTATGAAATTATTTTTTGAATTGTGTAATTAATTTATATACAGAATTGCAGGGATCACAGTCCCCTTTCTTTACTTAATCTCCCTTCTTATCCCCTTATAATTAATAAAATCCCCCTAAAGCACCAAAAGTCAAGACTATTCTCCCCTTTTCACTTTTTAAAAAAAAAAACATTTTTGACTTAGGTACAAAAATTGTCATTATTTTCTAAGTTGGAAAATTTTTTTTCATTTATGAGTTGAAGATTAAAGTTACTACTTTTTACAAACTTTGGAAAAGTTTTAGTTTTGGAGTCTTGAATCTTTTTATATTATTTTTGTTAAGAGTTTTTAAACTCAGAAATTATTTCCTAGAAGGTAACGAGTATAAAATAATTTTTACAATTTACAAAGTAAAGCACAAGTTGTTAGGAATTTCTGACAATTTAAACTATTTTCAGAATAAATTCTAATGAGTCAAAAGAGTAAATTTTACTAATTTTTATATTAAAATTTACTTTTATTATAAAGTTTACTTTTGAATTAGTAAAATTTTCTTTAAATGTAGTAAAAATAGTTATTAAAGATTATTATGTTCAGAGTTAATGTTACTATTCCAGAAGTAAATTTTTACTTAAAATTATTCTACTTATTATTAGATGAAAAAATCACTGTGATCCCTGAGAATATTAAAAAAAAAAATTTTTACAGTTTTTTTCGATTTTGCTTATTTTTAGACGATATTTTTATATAATTGCTGTTATAATAATAAAATATATAGAATTAGGATAGTCAGTTAGGTATATAAATAATTTTAATTTTAATCAAATCATGATTTTGATATTTATTTTAATCTTTTTGATATTTTTATTTCGTTTTTTCCTAAAATAAGTTTTATTAATAATTAATAATTATAAACGAAATCATATACCTAATGCGATCATAGTACATTATAATAATAGGTTATTATAGTAATTAATAATAATAATAATAATAATAATAATAATAATGTGATAATATATAATTATTAATAATTAATAATTCTATTACTATTCCTCTAAACATTTCCAAAGCTCTCTAAATCTGAAATAGCGATAAGTATAAATAGAATTAATTAGCTTGCATATGCTCCTAATTAGTGAAATTTCACTAATTTAGATTTAGAGACTAAAATGGAGAATATACATTTAATTTTAAACACTCGTATTAGTGTTGGGTTTTTCGTTATTTAACCCTTTGAGGTACCCTTGGCGATTATTATCTACAATTTCTTTTTGCCACAGAAAAGTGTGTGATTATAATTTTGCGTTTTTTTGTAATAATTATAATAATATAACCTATAAATGCGGGTAAATTTTTTGCGGCCACTTAAAAGAGTTGTGACGCGGTGCCGCAAAGGGTTAAGAAAATTATTTACTTTTATTTTATTAATTTTTTTTTTTTATTTAAAAACTTTTTTTTTTAAACCGGTTGTGTCAAAAAAAGGGACAACTTCCACGATATGGAAATTTTGTTTCAGGATGGAAAATTCGAGTGCGCAACAAGATGCTGCAGGGTCAAAAGTCGACCCTTTTCTCACCCCCAATCTGGTTAAAGACAAGAAAGACATTTCGGATAAGAATAAAAAAAGTGATTTGAAAATAAAAAATAGCGCGACCAGTCTTTTAGTGCAAAATACAATTTTATTGCCAAGTAGTGTTGTTCGTGTTAAACAATCGTACAATAATGATGGAGTTGAAAAATTAAATGTACAATCGACATCGTCTGGCAGTGCAACCGGTAAGTAAAGAGAAATTTCTTTTTTTAGAAAAAAAATATAAAATTAAAAAAAATATTCTCTTAACAATAATATTTGTTTTGTTTTTTATTTTTTTTTTGAATACTGATTGGTAAATTAAATATTTTATGCAAATCAATAGGCTTATACTATAAGTTCCCCTTTATAGTCCAGAGGTTAATAATGTGCCAATTATTGCCCTAGGGCGACAATATGTACTTTATTATCCTAGGGCAATAATGATCACTTTATAGACAAGCTGGGCTATATGGAGATACCGTATTATTATTTTGTTATAATAACACTCGGAGATGATGAAATTGGGTATTTTATACATAATTATTATTATAAATAATTTATAGTATTTTTATTAATATATTTTATAATATAGTAATTAATACTATTATGTGTGAATGAAGTAAATTTTGAAATTTTAATCTACTTATTATTAGTTATTATTATTAATACTAAAAATATGATTAATAATAATAATTGTTTTAATAGATACTAAAACTAAATAATGAATATATAATTATTGCTATAGTGATACTTAATTTTCTTATAAGTAATACAAATACTATAATAATAATAATAATAATAATAATAATAATAATAATAATAATAATAATAATAATAATAATAATAATAATAATAATAATAATAATAATAATTACAATTGACATTAATAATAGTGGTAATAAATTACTGTTCCAAGTAGACGAGAATTAGGAATTCATCAAATTTGATTACACGACAATTACATTGGTTTCTATTATTACCCAAATCGTCTGCAAATTCATTACTGTTTAATTTCCTGAATAATTGTTCATTACGGTTGCACGCTCTTATTAGCAATCAAATATTACGTGTAATATTTAGTGATTCATAAAGAATTAATTTTTATTCGAAATTTTTTCTGCAAATTAGAATTTAATTGCTTTCTTCTATTTAAATTTTTCAATATACATAGTTCAATTTTTCTTATTATATTAAATTTATAAATCTTTGCTCTTAAAATAAAATTATTCTTGAATGATCAAAGCTTGGATTTTGCTAATAAGAAGGAAAGCGTTTTTTTCTTTTTTAATATATAAATTTGCAGATGGTAATTACTTTGTGTTTCTCATTTTAGTGCTGTTTTTAATAATTCGTTTTTTGTAATTTCTTTTTTTCTTCTGCTGAGTGCTGAATATTCATTTGTGAAAAGTTGTTTATTTTTAATTACGACAAAAGCATTGAAGCTAAAGAGACAAAATAATTACGTTGCAGAATATTTTGCAACATTTTTATGGATCAAGTAGTTTTTTATCAATTTTGTTTATTATAATAATATAATAATTGATTATTGGTTTAGTTTATTTTAATAATAATATTAATAATAATAGTTTTACTATTGGGTAAATAAATAAACATAATAATAAATGAAAAAATTATTATAATGATCAGTAAAAATATAATTAGTAATTAAAAAACAGAAGTGTAGGCCTCGGATATTATGATTTTCTTGACTTTTTTCGACTAATTTCAATAAATGCAATTTTTTTCGACTTATTTTTAAAAAATTGCGTATTTTCCGACTTTTCTTCCAAATATTACAACAAAATACCACATTTTTAATATAGAATCCAACTTATTTTGACTTTTTAGATAAAATAAATATATTAAAATATAATGCGAAAAATAATTGTAGACAAGTCTTTCAAAAATTATTTTTCAATAATTTTTTTAAGAGAATTAAATTTTTAAATTAAACGTATGATTAAAACAGTATTGAATTATTGAAATTTTGTAAAAGTTACTTAAAAATAATTATTTTTAAATAATAAAAGTTCACTTTCAAAAATTTTAATAAAATATTTGAAAATAAACTTCTTAAAGAATTTTAATTGCAAATTTTGAAAATAATTGAATTCTCAGAAATTTTAATGTAAAATCTTCAAGTGTAAATTTATAAATGAAAATTAATGGAAATTAGCTTTTAAAAATTAGATTAAATTATTTTTGAAAAAAGTTATTCTTTGAATTTTTTTATTCTAATTTTTTAAAATGCAATTATTTTCAATATCTTCAATTAAATAATATTTCCGAAAATTTAAATACATACATACAAAAAATATTGAAATTAAAATTTTTTAGAATTATTTTTAATATTTTGGAGAAAATAATCATGTTTAATTTTTAATATTATAGTTCTCCAAAAAGTTAATTAATTTTTTTTTTAATATACAAAAATTCTTTTAAGAAATTCAGTTAATTTCGAAAAATTACATTACAATATTTTTAAAAAACTAATTTTTAGAATTGTTTTATTATTAAATTTTTTAAGATTCAATTATCTTCGAACAAAGTAAATTTAAGTTTCTTAAAATTTACTTTTTTAGACTTATTAAAGTTTTGGATGAATCATGTTCATATTTATAATTAAAATTCTTCAAAAATTTAATTATTTTAAAAATATTTTACCAAATATTCAATTATTTGGAAATTTTTCAATTGTACATAATATTCAATTTTAAAAGAGTTGCGTTTACTATTTTCATAAATAATTAAACTTCAAACGGTTTCAATTTAAAATTTTATATAAAATTTCAATGTTGAATGAATTTAATTAGAAATTTTAATGAACTTAGATTTTTGAAAAATTTTAATAATTCAAAATCTTCTAAAATTAGTTGAATTTGTCAATATGTATTTAATTAATTATTAAAAATTATGGATTTATAGAAGAATTTCAGTTAAAAACACTAAAAAAAGTAAATTTTTGAAAAGTTAGAAAGGATTACAGAAATTGAATTATTTTCAAAAGTAATAAAATTCTTATCACAAAATTCAATTATTTATTTTTATTTATTCAAAAATACACACACAATTATGTTCCAAATTTACAAAAAAATCTCGATAAAATCCCGATTATTATGTTTATAAATAAAAAAATTCTTCAAAATTCAATTATTTTCAAAATTTTTAATAAAATTACCCAAAAGAATTCAATTATTTAAAAACAATTTTAATAAAAATTGTACGCAAACATTTAATTATTTTCAAAAATAATCAAAACTTAACATAAATTTAAATATTTACAATTTTTTTATGAGTTTCATCTCAATAATTAAATTATTTTCATAAATAACAAAACTCGTTGCAAAATTTCAATTTTTTTGATACAATTTTAATCGAATTCCTTGAAAAATGTAATTATTCTAAAAAATTTTTTTAATATTCGTCAAAAGAATTCAATTATTTAAAAATTTTCTATTAAAAATTGATTTAAAAATGAATTTTAGTTTAAACTTTAGATAATAATAGAATAAGAAAATAATTTTGAACAAGTCATAGTAACAATATTCTTATAATATAAAATAATTATTTTAACACTCGATCCTCTTTAATTATTATAAAACATAAAGAAATCGATCACTCCGAGTCTTCGACTCGGAGCAATCAATTTCTTCATGTTTTATAACAATACTTTTATAAGTTGTTTTATTTAAAAAAGGTTTGAATTTGAATGTTTTGAAGAATTTAAATTTCTACGGAAATATAATAATAATAATTAAGTATTTAAAATATTTAAAAAAGAAATTATTGTTTTCAAATAACTTTACAATTAAAAATATTCGAATAAATAAATTTAACAGAACATTTTTTTTTGAATAAAATTTTTTCCTTTATTTTTAAAAAACTTTGAATTTTATTAAAACAATTGAAATTAAGAAATAGAATTGATGCAAATTATTTTCTTATGAAAATTTAGAATTTTCTTCTATAATATTAAGAGACGGGAGTATCTAATGTTTTTCCTCCCAAAAGAAAAAAATAAGTTTGTAAACAATATTGTTATTGAAAAATGAAAATTATGCATAAAATATTTCCTACTTCTTAATCAAAATTTTTTAACAATTAACAATTTTCTAGTATTTTTTATAAATAAAAAGGAGAATAATTTGCATACCTAATAATTTAGATCAGTAAAACTAAATTTGTTATAGATGAAAGCATATACACTGTAAAAAATTTAGGGAGTTAAGGGCATTTGAAACTTGATGACGTCACACATGCTTTGCACAAACTGAAACGTCATCAAGGTTCAAATGCCCTTAACGGACTTGGGAGTTGGGAGTGAAATTTTTCGAGTTAAAAATCAACTCCAAAAGAGAGTTAATTTCTAACTCCCTTCATTCAACACCCGCGCAAGTTATTTTTTCCTTGGGGAGTTAGCATTTGGGTGTGAAATTTTAACTCTCTTTATTTAACTCCCCTGGCATTAACTCCCCAATGGGTGCGACTTTTATAGACCCCCCAGGGGAGTTAAAATTTAACTCCCTTTTTTTACAGTGTATAACAAACAAAACGTGAATATTTTTTATTTGTTAATCATACTTTTTTTAAATTTTCTAATTTGTAATATTATTTAATTATAAATAATGAAAAAATACCTGCATATTTTCGATTTGTCAAACAATATTTTTTAAAGAAAAAAAAAGCAAAAGCATACACAGAAACTAACTTCAAACTGCGGACAGAGTAAGTGAAAGAATACGGAGATGAATATATAGTTAATTAAATATTTATTATCAAATTTTAGTAATAATTAAGTATTTTTATCAAATTAAATATTTATTATTAAATAATATTTGTATGAAATGATTTTTATTTAAAACAATGTAGTATTTTTTTCTTCAAACACAAAAATTAGTGGTTCGAATAGAATTTATTCTGCATTAAAATAAATCCTCTAAGTCTTAATTAGCTATCAAAATAACTAATTTTGATTAATTAATATTAATAATTTTATAAAATGTTTTTCTTTTAAATAGTTTTCTCTTGTTGTATTTGATATAAAAATGTATTTGTCACAATTTGTTTCATGTTTTAAAAGCGAGAAAAAAAAAAAACTATTGCCTTAGGTTATATATGACTTTTGTTGTCCTGTGTATATAACTTTACATCGTTGAATCGAATTAAAAAGCGAGAAGTATTGTTATAAATATAGTAGCATAAC